AAATGAGATAGAAGGTTAATTTTAAAGTTGGAAACACAATATAATAAGCACTCTGTTTCTTAGTTTTCTTCTCACAAATGAATCAAGTACTGCCTATAGAGAAGAGTAGAAAGGAAGCAGAACTTAATATTCTGCCTGAAAAGAAGAAAGATTAAGTTTTGCCTAGAGGTATAATTAGTTATTTTAAAATTGGGTTCCTTGTTTGTCCTGTATCCTAAAAGAGTTCACCAAGAACGCATTGTGTTATTTGTGGAGTATCTGAAATTATTTCTTTACCATTTAGTTAGGAACAAGGAAAAATCCATTTCCCCCCCTTATTTCAAATATCTGTTGTTTGGGATTATTCAGTACCTGAGTTTGCTTTAACTTTCAGGGTATGTAACAAGACATTTTATGTAGCTTACGCAAAGTTTGAAAGCCCTGACAGGTGTGATTCTAGATAGACGTTTGTCATTCTGTTACTGCTCTAGCAAAGGACAGAGTATTTATTGAGAAAATGATGGAGGGGGAAAAATCACTTTCTTTCCCCCTTTTTTCCTTCTTTGCTGCCTTTTCCTCTTGGTTTTGTACTACTAAAGAGATACCTCACATGATTTAGGTTCAGAAAGAAGCGAACCTTGATCTGGTTTGATATTGGGGGAGGGAAGTGAAACCAGGAAGCCAGAGAAGCTGATTGTGTGGGCCCAAAGCTTGCCCTGAGCAGAATTGTGAAGTAGGTGGAGCTAGTTTTAGTAGGTCCCTATTTTTCCTAGCTTTTCTCCCATCCCCCTTCCTCCAACTTTTCGCTGTCCTGTTGCTTTCTAGGGAGAAAAACGTGATGCTTCACACTAAGGCAGCTAGATAGCTAGATGGAGCACTAGCTAGACCATGGGAGTTGGAGTCAGTGAGATGTCTAGACAAGTCACCTGACCTCTTTGTGCCTCGGTTTCCTCATCTTTAAAATGGAGATGAGATTAGAACCTGTCTCACTATGGTTGTGAGCATCAAGTGAGCTAACATATGTAAAGTACTTTTCCAACCTTAAAGTGCTATATTTAAATGCTAGTTGTTATTATTAATTATTATATGTTACTACCCAATCATCTCCTAGTAATATGTGAATTTAACTCAAAGGAATGCCAGACGGTGAAATTCCAGGTATTATGGAAACCAGGTCTTGGAAAGTTGTTGGTACAGCCTCAGAAAATAGGGTTGTGGCTTGATAACTCATTAATTGGCTTGATAACACTTGGCTACCAGTATTTCACTGGAAGGATGAAAATAGAAGACTTGAGAATCTCATTGAATTCTTGGTGGAGATACCCATTGGAATAAGCTAAATTACTGATTCTCAGCCCTTTGGGAATGCAGCACTCTATTGTTTGTTATTTTTGTGACATCCCCTCATCTTGCCTTCTTAAGAGTGATCTCTGACATGTTTCCTTTAACAAATAAGGTGAATTAATTCCAACTTCTCAAAGGGAGGAGATAAGTAAATTTCAGAACTACATTTAAAACAATGGGTCATACAATGGCCAAGGGCATAACAAAAAAGAGAGTTGGGAATTATTCCTCGTCAAATATTTAAGTTAACTTTTGGTCTCTGGCATTCTTCTCCTCATTGGCTTTTTGAACCTGTTTTGCCATTTGGATTAGTCTATTTTTTAAGGTGTTATTTTCTTCAGTATTTTTTTGGGTCTCCTCTAGCAAGCTGTTGACTTGTTTTTCATGATTTTCTTGCATCACTCTCATTTCTCTTCCCACTTTTTCCTCTACTTCTCTTACCTGCTGCTCAATTCTTTTTGAGCTCCTACATGGCCTGGGACCGATTCATATTTTTCTTGCAGGCTTTGGATGTAGGAGCTTTGACTTTGTTGTCTTCTTCTGGTTTTATGTTTTGATCTTCTTTGTCAGCAAAGAAAAATTCTGTGGTCTGACCTTTTTTTTTTTTCCTGTTTGCTCATGATCCCAGCCAATTACTTGACTTTTAAACTCTTTGTTAGGTAGGGGTCTGCTTCCTATGCCCCAAGCTTTGAGAGTTTTGTGCGTCTGTTTTCAGAGATACTTCTAGAGACCTGTAAAGTTTCAGGTCTTCCAAGGTGATACCATCAAAGGCGAGGTGTTTATTCCTTTCATGGCCTGGGCTCTGGTGTGTGAGTGACCATGAGCACTCTTTTCTGCCTTGGAACTGTGAGGATGATTCCCTCTTCACCGCCACTACAAGCTCCACCATGCCAGCACTCCTACTTTCCCCAGGACCGCCGCTGAGAACTATGACCCAGATCCAAACGCAGGCAAAGCAAGAGAATCCCGTCTCAGTGCCAGCAAAGAGATCTCTGCCCTCTCCCTCTGATCAGCCACTGGATCCTCCCTCCATCTGTGGGCCAAGAGCCCCGGAAGCAGCCACCACCTCGGAGCTGCGCCTAGACTGGGGCTGGGAGCCAGCTTCTCTCTCACCGAGGTCACAGACCTTTCCTACGGACCTTCTAAGTTATCTTTGGTGTTTGTGGTTTGAGAAGTCTGGAAACTGCCACAGCTGCCCATGTTTCAGTCCCCTGAGACCTGCTCTGCCTGTGCACCTACTATGAATGGCGCTTCTCTCCCAGCCTGACACAGTAGACCATTTGTTTCACTCTGTGGGTTCTGTTGCTCTAGAATTTGTTTACAGCCATTTTTTACAGGTACTTGGAAGGGTTTGGGGGAGAGCTCAGGCAAATCACTGCTTTTACTCTGCCATCTTGGCTCCGCCCCTAACTTTTGGTCTGTGAATATATAATATGTAAATTTTAAAAATCAGAGTAAAAAGAAAAGTAAAAAGAGTAAAAAGCAGCCCACCCTGAAAAACAGTCTAGGCTTAATAGTGAATAACCAAGACAGTTGTGGAAGAGTGAAGACACACCTGGTCTGCCACCTCCTTTTTACCGGTAGGGAAACTGAAGCCAAGGGAGGTTAAATGTCATGCCCAAAGGAATTCTAAAGAGGGTTCTCTGACTCCGTATTCAGCATCCCGTTTCTTACACCAGGACCAACACTCTAGATCCTTAACTGAGGAAACCACAGGAAGAAATTTACTCTTAGAGATAAGAGTTTCTCCAGAAAAATATGGGCCCACTAGTTTGTGAAAGAAAAATTCTTTAGCCGGCAAACGTTTACAAAATTCTGAGCTCTGTGCTGGGTTGGAGGAAAAAGGTGGGGCATACCTGGGCAGAGAAAGACAGGGAAAAAAAAATAAATTACATAGTCCTTAACTTCAGAAGAGTTCTAAATTTTATGAGGTGAAGTTCACACATATGCAACAGGGTTGGAGGATAGTTTGGGAGCCAGAAAGCACTTTAGAAGTTATCAAGCCCAACCCCTTCATTGTACAGTTAAAGAAACAGAGGCCTAAGTAGGTTAAATAATTTGCCTGTCACTGAAATGCATAGTAAGGGGCAGAGCTGGGATTTGAACCCGGGTCGTTTGATAGGCATTTGCTCTTTTCTGTGGCACCATGCTGCTTCCCTACTAATACAGGACCACTATAAAGGAGCATGAGGAAAGTGGAGCTGAAACTTGTATGTATTGCTATTCCTCATTTTGCATTTCATGGGTTTCATCATTTGTGGAAATTATTGCATTGTCAGAATGATGTTTTGAGTTTAGGGAATGCCTTCTGACAGTTTGTTATGGGAAATGCTAAAATTGAGATTCAACATTGTGACTAGGTTTGAACAGCAGATGATATTTAGGGCATCTACTGCTGACGGTTGACGTTAGGACATACTAGCAGGGAAATCAATTCTCCCATTCTGTACTTAGATTTGAAGTTATATTTTCATTTATTTTATAGGCTTACTTGGCACATTTGAACTCTGTGTGTGAATATGTTGACCAGCCCTAAACAAGATGCTCTTCATTTTTTTCCAATGTGCCCTATTTTAAAAATCTTTAGTGGTAAGAAGCTTTCACTAACTGGGACCAAATTTTTTGGGTTGTAGCCAAGTTTTTCTCTTTCTTTTTTTAAAAGGAAAACATCTGGTTTGAATCACAAAGAACATTTGAAAGCACAGGGGAGAGGGTGGAGATTATATTTTATGTAATTAAGGGTTAATGTTTAGCCTTAGAGTCTCTAAAATTTTTAATTTTATCTTGAAAGAAATGAGACTGGGTTGGTTGGATAGAGACCTCAAAAATACAGTATTGGGGTAGATCTTAAGAACATATTTCATGGAAAAGGGGGCTCCTATTCATGTCTTGGCAGCTTTTGTCAAGTTCAGGAGACTGAAGTCATTTAGGGTGCAGGCTGGGACATGGATTGTCTATTATCTTACATGTTAAAAGGCAAACACATTAGTTTTTCAACTGTTAATATGTAATGGAAGCATTACCTCCTGACACAGGAAAGAATAAGGAGCAGCAGTGTAAACTGAAAAACTCTTCAAGTGAAAGTTTCTCTAAATTTGTTTTCTTGGATCTTATAGAAAACATCTGTTGCTCTTTTTTTCCTTGTTAACCAGGTTATTTGTTGTTGGGGTTTTTTCTTTATAACTAAAGAGAAAATCTTAAGTATTGTTACAGGTGTCATCTGTCCGTTCCCTTAAAAACCTTTTGGGTTTTTTTTTAATATATCTAAGTTAAGGTTACAGCTTTTTTATTTTCAGAAAAGATGTCTAAGGATTCACATGTTGGTTTTGAATGTGCAAACACATGGCTCTTATTTTGTATCGCTGACGATCCACACGGTTGACTGCTGTGTGTTGAACGTTTTGTTCTAGATTCTCTGCCAACTAAGTACCTTATGCAAAGCTATGGTTTTAGTAAAACAGGTTTTCTTGTTTTTAGTCAGAATGGTACTGTGATCTGCGGTTAGCTTTGAGATGCAAACAGAAAAATGAAGAGTGTGGATCTAGGCATGAATACCAAGCTCACTGCCCAAACAAGTCTGTCTCTGTCTGACAGGGTAGCTGTTTTTTCCATTCCCAGAGCTCCAGTTCATGTTGTTTACTGCTCAAGATTTGAGATGGTGTAACTTTCTTTTCTAGGAACTTGGAATTAGAATTCCTCGACCACTAGGACATGGACCAAGCAGATTCATCCCAGAGAAGGAGGTATGTTACTTGTAAAGGTACATAGAGAACTTTGTATGCTTTTAAGGAAAGATTTTCATGGACCTACTTTTGGCCATCTGAGCAAGTATTGGTCAACAAAATGTTTTATACAGAGCTCACCACAGTTCATTATCATATTTTGGCAGTAAATCTATAGAACTGTAAGGCTGGGATTTATACTACTTTGTGACCCTTTTTAGCATCCGCATAGAGAAAGCCAAGACTTGTTTTTCAGTAATGATACTCCACCCCTTCATATTCAAACAGTGGCCAACTTTTCCCAAGCTTTTAGTTACTTAGTAGTTCCAGGGTGTACAGTGATAATCTGTGCTATCCCTGTAGTACCAGATCATTAGTACCCAAAAGCAGTTGTACCTAATTTTCTCTAAAATGTTTTATTGGTTTTTTTTTTACATTGCTATCACTTTTAATGACCCCCCCCCTTTTCCTCTTCCCTAGCCTTGTCTGACAGTGTCTTAGCCCCTATCTATGGTCTGCCACCTTTCTTATGTGAGAGGTGGGAGGTGATGCTATACTATCAGACTGCTGAAGTCATGATTGGTCACTTGTGCACAACTTCCCACAAGAGTAATTTGTGAGACTCAAATGAAAAACTTGTGGTGTTTTTACAAATGTCAGTTACCCTCAGGATGATTTATTTAATGACTTTGGTATGGTGGTATAGTGGAAGGAACATAGGACTAGGGGCCAAGGAGCAGGGATTTACCACATATTCACTGTGTGGGCAGTGTGTTGCCACATACTGGGCACATCACTTTACCTCTCTGGGCCTCAGTTTTCTCATCTGTAAAATGAAGGGATTTGTTGCTAAGATCTCTTCCAGCTGTTAACAGTCATTATTAACCTTACCTTCTTTGGATGGCAGGAGGAATTGTGTGTTATGAGAGACTTCAGGAATGTATCTCTGAGGTCTCAATTCCAACGTGTTTCCTAAATTTAATTGTCTGTGCAAATTGCTGCCAAATTTGTAAACCGTCTTATCTAGATGACCTTTAATTTTTTTTCCTTTTAGTATTAACAGATAAATTTATGGTTAGAATGACTTTAGACAGTTTCTGGAGCTACAGTGCTGTACTTAATTGCTTCTTAGTAACTGGAGTTAAGTTCAAAAAGTATAGCTTTTAAAATGTGTGTTAACAATTTGCAAAACCCTTTTTTTCCTGCTCTCTAATTTATACAGATTCTTCAAGTGGGTAATGAAGATGCCCAGATGCACACTTTATTTGCAGATTCATTTGCTGCTTTGGGTCGTTTGGATAACATTACCTTAGTGATGGTTTTTCATCCACAGTATCTAGAAAGTTTCTTAAAAACCCAACACTATCTACTACAGATGGATGGGCCACTCCCACTTCATTACCGACACTACATTGGAATAATGGTATGTAAAGATTCAATGAAAATTAATTTATGCCATCTCCTTTACCGGGAATATTAATGCCTTAAAAAGTGACATACTTTTATATTTGGACTTTTAACTGGGTTTCTAGTGGAGATAATACCTACATTTTTTATCTCTTATAACCCCTAAACAAAAGATGGTGTGTAAGTAGTCGCTCCTTTCACTGAAAAATATCAGTATTTTCTATGAAATTAAGAGAACAAAATTAATACAGCCTTTCTCTTTACTTAAAATTTCAAAATTGTTTTGTGCATCAGAAATTCTTGTTATATTAAAATTGCTTTTATTTTGGACCTTAGTGCTCTGTAAATGTGTCAGCTTTTAAGTGACTCCAGTACCATTGACCCTTTTCATAAATGTATGTGTGTATGTTTTTTTGTGATCCCATAAATATTTTTAATTTAGTACTTGAAATCCCTTTTGATTCTAACAAGGACAAATGAATTTCAGAGAAACTCAGTATGGGTGGTTTTTCCAGTGTTCAGATGTTGTTGACCTTAATTTTTTTAAAAAATAAAATGTTCATAAAAAAAAATAAATAAAATGTTCGTGTTATTTCCACCAGTTATTATGTTATACAGAAAATTTTTCTTAAATTCTTAATCATAAGAGTAACTTTATTTGCTGTTTTGATACAGTCTGAGAGTACATTTTTGTAGTGTTTTATATGAGTCTAATTTTTCTGGTAATTCAGAATAGTGGGCTTCTTTCTTTTAAGGCTGCAGCAAGACACCAGTGCTCCTACCTAGTGAACCTCCATGTAAATGATTTTCTCCATGTTGGAGGAGACCCCAAATGGCTCAATGGTCTAGAGAATGCTCCTCAAAAACTGCAAAATTTGGGAGAACTAAACAAAGTGTTAGCCCATAGACCTTGGCTTATTACCAAAGAACATATTGAGGTAAGTCATTGAGCATATACCACCTCAATTTTAGCATAAGATGCTTATTCTCTATTTTTATTAATGAATAAGCATCAAGTGAGTGGGAATTGTGATATTCTCTATAGATTAAGAGAGCTGCTGTGAAGAATAGATTAGCATGTTGATTAGTGATTTTTTTTTCTGTCCTGCGAAACATTTTAATGTATATGACTTCAGAGCTGAAAAAATTAAAGCAACAAAAAATATAAGATAGGAATGTATTCTGCAATATAGTTTTCAGTGTTGCTGAATTAAACAGGTATATGAGAATAGGTAAAGGAGGCCAATATATCAACACACACACACACACACACACACACACACACACACACACACACACACACACACACACACACACACCCACACACCCCCTCCATGTCCAAGCTCTTGCCACTACCTTTTTGGAAATGCCTCAAAAGAAATAACTGATTTGAGGTTATTGATATGTTCTAAACAACACATAGACACATCTTATTCAGTGCATTGTAAAAATTTCCTATAATCATTTTGAGAGATCTTGAGTATGTAATATGGACAAATCACTCATCATTCAGCCTTCTGAAATATTGCAATCCTGTAAGACATTTAGACATGCTGATGGCTGAAGTTGCAACATTTTCCAATATCCAGTAAGCATTCCTTAAATTCAGAATTGCATAACACCTACCAAGTTATGTTAGGCTATCTTTCTAAAAACAATATCAGCAGATTCTGAAATCTTTGCTTTTTGTCATCCCACAACTATCCATTTAACTACTACAGATTTTATATAATATCTGGCCCTGCTTTTGGTGTGTTGGGTGTTGCTGTGAACGAGTTATTTTCATCAGTATAACAACTTGTTCCATCTTAATTCTTTAGCAACTTTTGAAGGCTGAAGAGCATAGTTGGTCCCTTGCTGAATTGGTACATGCAGTAGTTCTACTCACACACTATCATTCTCTTGCCTCTTTCACATTTGGTTGTGGAATCAGTCCGGAAATTCATTGTGATGGTGGCCACACCTTTCGACCTCCTTCTGTCAGTAACTACTGCATCTGTGATATTACAAATGGCAATCACAGTATGGAGGAGATGCATGTTGCAGGAAGTGTTTCAGTAAGTATCAGTTTTGTGTTATGGAATTATCATAAAAAATAATCTCCCAGCAATGACCATTTTGTTTCTTTAGTTCCTTTTTGTTCATTATATTTTCATTTTGGACTATAGGGAACTAGTTTCAAAGTTTGATTTGACATCTCAGATGTAACAAATCCTCAGAATTATAACAAAAAGAACAACCAGGCACTGATACTCTTTATTCATTTAACTGAATGGCTAGTTATATAGTAGGCACTTGGAAATGTCTTTGAGTATTTCTAATGTGTAGAACACAGGTATGGGAGAACAGGCAGAGTCATTGCCCTCCAGGAGCTGACATTGTAGAAACAGTCAACTACCTCATACAGTGTCTCAAAGGATGTGACTTCAGATTCTGGCTCTGCTGCTTAGTACCTTTGTGACTTGGGTAGGTCCCTTTACCTCTCTGGGCCTCAGTTTCCTTATCTGTAAAAGGGGTGGGTCAGAATAGATAGTTTATAAGATCCTTCCAGCCCTAAATCCATGCCTGTGGGTGAGAATCTTCTACATTAAAAAAAAAAAATCACCCAACTATGCTGCCTGCTGAAGGATTTCCAGGTTTTTCATATATGTTTTCTGAGTTATTATTTCATATATTGTTCCCCTAAAATAAATAGGGGCAAGTTAATATTGGTGCCTTCTTACAGATCATAAAACTCTGAGTAACTGTTCTAAGACTATGTTAATGAGACCCAAAGTCATGGATATAGGTTCAAGCCTCTGTTGGGCCTATTAGTTTTGTTCTTTTCTACTCTTAACACCAGCTAGCTATTTTGCTAATTTGTTCTGGTTAAAAGGGAGACCAAGTAAGTATGTGGGGATGAATGAAGACACTAGCAATAAATGTCTTTACTTGTCACTGACAGCGATATATAGTGTATATGACCCAGAAAAGATCACTGAAGCCTCCAGTCACCCTTGATGAGCAATGGCTAATGAACCAAGCAAGCCTCCCCCAACACATAACAGTTGTTGGGCATTCTTGGAGTGCACGGCAGGCCACCATCTGATGAACTATGTTTTCCGTGTGCTAGCTGAGCAGTTTGGAAAGCAAGTCATACCAAATAGCTCCTTAAGATTAACTGATCCTTAATACAAAAAATGGTGAAGAGTGTGAATTTTTTCCTTTGCTGTGCATCTAAAATTCCAAGAAATTAATACCGTTAGGTTTTAGTACTCGTATTTTGTTTCATTATTCCAGCTGGCATGTTTATTTAAGCAAATGAGAATTTAAGTATTGGGGCGGAAGTGTACAACCGAAACAGGCTCTGTTCCTATCCCCAGTGCTTTGTTTTTTAAAATGTTACTTATTTCAGCTATACTTCACTGTGGCTTCTCTTGTCTTTAAACAAAGTAGGGAAGCATCACCAGTACCATTAAAGGCAATATGGGTTATCTGGTCCAGCAAACAGTGACATTTGTTCCTGAGCCATTATGAATTCCTGACCAACGTCAGTGATGGTGATACGATCAGTAACGGTTTTTTGAACCTCATCAGTGTATTGCTTTCCTTGGTAATATTATTATAGTAAATCTGTAACATTATTTTGGCACCAACTATCAGGGTCATTTTAAAGTGTGACCTACAGAACTTTTTTTGTAGATTATGAGTATCCTATGATATACTGATATGTGATATGTGGCTTTTCACTTTCAAGGAGCTGCTAAAGAAGGGAGAGTCAGTTGGGCATGTCTGACCTTGACTTACAGTTAGCTTTAAGGTTCCCTACTTCATTAGTTACATAAGATAGAGATTTCAAATATCTGACTCAGCTGACTACTTGGTGAGGACCAAGGAGGTCGTGAATGTGAGATTTCCTCCTCAGGTGCTCAGTTGGCATAGATCAACTTGCCTAAACTTCATGGGTTAACCCTGCCCCCCACCCCACACATCCATAGTAGAGTTGACGGAATTGGTTCATTGCTGTGGCAGTCATGGCTGGCTGCCACTGTTTAGTCCCCCTTGCAGAACTAAAATATGGAATATGGACAGCAAGCACTAGCCTTTCCAAAACACGTTGTCTGAAATGGCAACATTGTGTTTGATGTACAGAATTTTGCATGGCAGCCAGATTTCATTGAACTACATGTTTCGTGCAGCAACAAAGGGTATTATAATAGTCTGTGTACAGACTAGGTGGATGGAGGGGACAGTTATGGTTGTGGAGATAAAAACAGTGGACTTGGCATGGATCTGGATATGGAAGGTGAGAGAAAGGGAAGAGTCAGAACTCCCAAGTTTCAGGTTTGAAAATTGATGATGACGTCAGTAGTTAGAAGGAATTTGATAGAAGGGTTTGGGGTAAGATGATTTGAGTTTTGGATGTATGGAGTTTGAGGTATACTCAGGTATAGCGAGATATGCAGCAAACCAAAATAAGGGTCTGGAACATGGGGAGGCATTGGAGGTAGTTGCTTAACATTGATAATTGAAAACAGGGAATGAATAGAAATTTTAAAAGGAGAGAGTTTAAATTGTCATTCATTCATTCTTATAAACAAAACATATTAGCGGATCTCTGAATTCATTTGTTCAGTACACTTCAGTAACAAAACCAAAAATATTTCCGTGAAACTTTATAAAATAAAAAGAATTAAGAGTTCCAATTTTAACCTTAAATTCCTGAATAATTTCTGCTTATGTGACATGCTTAGCACTGATTATATGTTATTTTCAGATAACTGATTCTTTTTGTGAGGTTGAAGCCCTCATGGAGAAAATGAAACAGTTACAAGAGTGTCGTGATGAAGAAGAAGCAAGTCAGGAAGAGATGGCTTCACGTTTTGAGATTGAAAAAAGAGAGAGCATGTTTGTTTTTTCATCAGGTAAATATAATTTTTATATAGTCAGAATTTTTTTTTCTTTAAGATTAGTTTCATTTGGAGAAAGTTTATAAACTGGCTAGACAAATGTTGAGAAACATACTCTTTTAGATAGATATCCCTTATTATAAGTAAACAATATTTGAAACTGAACTTTAATGTAATTTAAATAAGATGCTATTATATTCGATAATTCAACCAAACAAGCATTTATTAAGCATCTACTGTGTGCTAGGATACAAAAAAAAACCCTTTGCCCTCTAGGAGCTATATTATTATTGGGGGAGTGAGGAATTAAAAAAATATAAACAAGATAGGGGATTGGGGAAAAAACACAGCTAGAAAGTTAAGGGAAAGCTTCTTACAGCACTCAGTCTTGAAAAAAGCAAAGGAGTCTAAGGAGCAGATAAAAGAGCGTATATGTAGGCATAGGAAACAGCCATGTCTGTGCAAAGAATCATAAGAGGGGGAAAAAAAGAAATTCAGCAGAATTGATCAATGTATCAAGCCAGCCTGACAGGAGGTGTTCCCCACCCAGAGTCTCCCCACTTCAGCAAAAAAAGGCAAGGGAGGTACATTTTCATATCTCCTCTTTGGAGTCAATTTAAATCCCAATTGAAGTACAACACTGTCAGGTTCACAATTTTACAGCGTTGCACTTCATTTGTGACTTAAATTTTTTTCTTTGTATCTCCAGGGATAGCAGAAATACCTTGCATATGGTAGGCACTTTATAATTATTTGTTTAAATGTATTGTGAATCCATGAGATTTTTTATTTTATCTTAGAGTAAATCCTTTCATAACTGTTACTTAATTTAGACTATAAGGATATATGGTAGAAATGTTTTACAAAATACTTTTTAAAGTGCATTTTGATGATTGAAAAGCAAAAAAAGCATGCACTTTAAAGATTTTAAAACTAGAGCAAAGTCAAAAGAATGATTTTTTTAAGTGACTTGTTTCTTAAAAATATTTTATTTTGTTCTTTTCTGTTATTTTGTTTTCCCTCCTGCCTAAAGTTGTGGGAGTTACCAGGCAAGGATGTTAGGATTGTCATTTTATCAGGTCTTAAAAACTAATGCTTGATGATTCTCCATGTAAAAAACTGAAGTCATTGCAGCAGGAAGTAGTGATAGTGACAGTGTTTTTTTTCCTCACCCATTCTTCCAAAATAGTACTTAGGGCCACTAGATTATTTTGACTGTGTGACCATACATGGTACATTTTCACTTGCACATTAATCCTCAGATTATACCACAAACTATGTAATTTTTAAATAACATCTTATAGCATGGTACCACAGTTAGTTGGATATTTAATCCATGTTTTTATCATCAGGTATTAGCCACAAGTGTTTCCAAACCTTGTGCATTCAAGTATGAAAATCACACTTATAAAATATTTCATCTTTTAGGGACAGCTAGGTGGCACAGTGGATAGAGCACCGGCCCTGAAGTCAGGAGTACCTGAGTTCAAATCCGGCCTCAGACCAAACACTTAACACTTAGTAGCTGTGTGACCCTGGGCAAGTCACTTAACCCCAATTGCCTAAAAAAAGAAAATATTTCATCTTTTTAAAAAAAAATTTTATGGTGAGTCAGAAAAGATTTAGAAAATTATGTGCATGAGGATATCTGTCTGTGGAAATGCTGCCTTCAGTGCATTTCCACTCACTAGTGGGATTTAATCTACTTTTCCAGGTTACCAAATAGGATTTTATTTGTGTTACTTGAAGAGAAGGAAATCCATGTGGTTAAAATATAATTATCAAAGACCCTTTTTAAAAAGCCAGTAATACCATTTTCATTATTGCAGACGATGAAGAAGTTGCACCAGCAAGAGATGTATCGCGACACTTTGAAGACACTAGTTATGGTTATAAAGATTTCTCTAGACATGGGATGCATGTGCCAACATTTCGAGTTCAGGTAAAATTGAAGTTTGTATTTTATATACTGTATCTAAAAAGCCGTATTGTTGTAGCTTGAGAGGAAGTGCTTTTGAGAACTCTAAAAATTAGTAAAGGGAAGGTAATTTTGTAGTTCCCAAATAAGGCATGGATCTTATTCTAAAAGTTTGTAAGGCTGTTTGGAGCTCACAATATATTTTCCCATTTAAGCCTTTTATAAAAGATTTTCACAATAGCCAATGAAAACTGATATTGAACTCATAATTAGTTGGAGTATGATGATAATAGTATTTCAGAATCTGGTTACCCTTTACAGCATTGTTTCTCTGTAGAAAGTTAGAGTTCCAACTTGGGATGTCGGGAATACATTTCTTGTCTTGCAGCACTAGCAATTGGAAAGGAAACTCAACCTCACTTCATAAGCAGCAGGTATTTTTCCAAGACTTCATAAGGCTTCAGAGATGGAAGGGGAAAAGCAATCCTAAGAATCTTTGGCATCAGTGGAGAAGGACACAAGGAACTTGAATAGCTGGGATGAGGGGTGTGGGGGGGGGGAGGCATCCATAAATTAGAGGACTGACTAATACTAGATAAAGGCACTATTTTTAGCCTTACATTTTTTTTAAAATGGCAACCTACTGAATTATTGCAAGAAAGGAAATGCACATTTTAAATGTCAATTACTGAATGCATTTTAAGATTAACGTATTCCCTGAATTTAACTGAAGGCAGGGCCATTCTCTTTGCAGGTGTCAGATTTAACTTTGAATGACTTTGCATAGTTATTCTTCAGTTTTAAGAGTAAATAGGCGGAAATAATGATGCATTGTTTATCAAAATACTGCTTTGCTGATATCAAATTATCGACTGTAAAATACCGTAAAAATTGAATTAACTCTTCACACTTGGAATTCATTGTAATTAAGACCACCAAGATTTTCTAGGCTTCTGTTTCTGTAGATAAGAATAGCAGCCGTCCCAGTTGAGAAGTTGGGATCCCATCAGTAAACATTATTAAGCATCTGTTATGTGCCAGGCTGCTACTAGGTGAAAATAAGAAGAAAGAAAAGAATTCCTGTACTCTTACTAGCTTGTATTCTACTGGAAAAGAAAAACAAGATAAATAGAAATAGATAGGTAAATCCATCTCTCTATGTAGGTGTATGTATAGATCAGTATGGGGGGGGTTGGGAGTATACGTAGGCACACATCACACACGCTATATATAAAATCAGTAAATGTAACATAATTTGAAAAGAGTATTGATAACTAGGGGGAATAAAGAAAAAGAAAACCAGAGGTTGCACCTCAGTGTCGCATTGAAAAGCCAGGGATTCTCAGAGGGAGAGGTGAGGAGAAAGTCCATTATTCCAGACATGGGAGGCAGCTAAGCATAAAAGCACAGAAATGGGAGGTTGAATGTCGAGTTGGGGAAAGAAGAAGTTGGCCAGTTAGGCCAAAACTTAAGAGTATTGGAAGGGGAGTGATGTGAAATAAATGTGGAGAGAGATGACCAAAGACTGCTTCACAAATTGTCATGTCATTTGTTCAGCTACGGTGTCACTGAAACTTGTCAAATCTTGCAGCAGTGATTTATAATTGAGTTTTAAATTAATTTATTAAGTATTCTAGGTTTTAGATATTTCATTAGTTCAAGTGGATTTTCTTCTTCTTCTCTAACTCTTATTTCCAATGGTGGCATTTTATCATATGCCACTCAATCAGCCAAGTTTTCATTGAGCATTGACAATCTCTAGCATTTTGGTTGGTTCAGTGGAGGATACAAAAGAAATACAAGACATAGAGACTGCTTGGTGGGAGAGGATTCACGCACAGGAAGTTGGAGACAAGTGTGAGACAACTTCGTGGCCAAGACCAGGCAAGGGAGATGGGGAGAATTTAGGTAGCCACAGAGGAGAATGAACAAAATGAGAATGTGCCTGAAGGAGAGAATTAGCTTTCTGGGGGTAAGGAGGTCAGGTAGAAAAAAATGGAACTGTTAATGGAGAATAGATTTTAACTGAAGCAAAAAGTCCCTGTTGAATAGCTGTGAGAAACCAGAGTAGTGCCACGCTAAGCAGGGCTTGGAGTCATAAGCAGAGGACTGAGATTTGATATAGCAAGCAAGAGAGGATATAGGTTCTTATACATGGTAGGAGAGGAATTTGGGGGAGAATTATGCAGCTTTTCTGAAGCCTCATTTTCATTTAGAAATGAGCAGGGGTTCTCAAAACTATGTCATCAGAATACAAGCTCTGGGCTGAGAAATCTTCAGGTATAGTCCTGACGAGGGCAGCTAGAAGGTACAGTGGATAGAGTGCTGCACCTGGAGTCATGAAGACTTGAGTTCAAATCTGCTGTCAGACACTAGCTGTGTGACCCTGGGCAAGGCACTTAATCCTGTTTGCCTCAGTTTCTTCATCTGTCAAATGAGCTGGAGAAGGAAATGGCAAATCACTTCAGGGTCTTTGGGGACAAAAAAAGCCAAATGGAGTTATGAAGAGTAGGATGTGACTGAAAAATAATATTCCTGACAATACCAAACACGCTCTCTAATAACCAACCCTAGTTAAAGGGAGAAAGATTGACCAATAGAAGATGAATTCTTTGGCCTTGGCAGCCCATGACTCTTGACATCAATGTATGATAGGTAGATTGGAAGGAGTAGGGAGATTAGATGCAGAAACACTGTTAGTAAACGTTTAGAGAAATTTCAGTGTAGTATGATGAGAACCAAGATTTGGGTGGTGGTAGGAAAGATAAAGAGGGATGGAGTGAATCTAAGAGACATTATGTGAAGGATTTGACAATAAATCAAATATAGGGGACAGAAAGAGAGATGACTCAAAGGTTCCTAACCTGGGGGAGTGGAGTTCTGAAAGGAAACTAGGAATGATATCAGGTTTTAATGCATGTGATGATTATCAGTTCAGTCTGTAACATGTTGATTTTTAGACTGAGGTACAATATAGAATTCTAGTGAGAGAGGTCCAGTGGACATTTGGAATCAGGGTACTGCCTCACAAGTGAAAGATCAGAACTAGACATGGGGATTTCAAAATCAGCTATATAAAGACAATGGATTCTACTAATGATTTTATTAATAATACTATGTTCTGATTTAAATTGGTATTGTAAAACTAGAATCATAGACATTGTAATGTTCTTGTCCAGATTTTCATCTTTCACATACATGATCTATCTTCTGCTCTTTATAGGACTATTGCTGGGAAGACCATGGTTACTCTTTGGTTAATCGTCTTTATCCAGATGTGGGACAGTTGATTGATGAAAAATTTCACATTGCTTACAATCTGACATATAATACAATGGCAATGCATAAAGATGTAGACACGTCAATGCTTAGGCGTGCAATTTGGAACTATATTCACTGCATGTTTGGAATAAGGTTAGTCTCTTACAGTGTTCTTCATTTTTAACAAGAAAGTTATTACCACTTAGACTATCCTTCCCTCTTAAGTTGCCTTAAATACCTCCTTTCACAGTATTTTTAGCCCATATTTAAATATAAGGTTATTATACATTCTTAAACATCATTGACCTAAATGCCTCTTAAAATAAGATTTTCTTTTGAATTTTATTGAAAGTCACCTGGGTGTCTTAATGTATTTGATATTTAAATTATGGTACTTCATAGAAGCAAAAAAATTACTTTCTACAGATTAACATCTCAGTCTTCGATGAAATGAGATTATACCAATACAATGATTACAGTCATTATTCAAGTGAAAATAAGTTTGCACGGTAATGAATTATACCTTTATAGTATAAAGTACAGTGTCACAACTTTTAACTCATATTTGGCTTCTTCTGAACTCCTTTGATTGCATGTACAGTAGCCATTCCAACCCCTTATGTTGGGATCAAGCCATCCATTAGAATAAAATTTATCAAAATTTTGTCAGAATAAAATCTATCCAAGTCCTACTCCAATCCATCATCAAAGGGTGATTTGTTAATGGTTCACAGTTAAGAACAAACTCTGTCAGGTTCTCCTAAACTGGAAAGATTTATAGTATGTGCCGTGCAGTGATTTGTGTCTATAATTTGAGAACTCCAGGCAGAGCAGGGCAGGAACTGGGACCAGACAAGAGCTTCAGCTTCTGAGAGAGGAAGACCCAGGCAAAATTTCCAAATAAGTGAAGATTTCCTTTGGTGCCTTTAATTTTTTTTGTACTATTCCTCCTTTGTGGTACTCCCTCTTCTCTAACCCCATGAGGTCAGTCCCCATGCTGTCTCTGAGCTGTAATAGAAGCTTGGAGAGAATATAGCCCTTCACGCAAGCCTCTGCTCCTCACAAATAAAAATCCACGTAGGGGCAAGAAAGTCGTAATGATATAATTTTTTTTAAAGGGAAAACACGGGTACTTTAGCACAGTGTTTTAAATACTAATATGTTAATATGTTTAGCACATAGGTATTTAATGTTAACTGACTGAATGTACAATGGAGAAAGCCATTCTAACATCTTTTTTCCATTTGAAACAGGTATGATGACTATGACTATGGGGAAATTAATCAGCTTTTGGATCGTAGCTTTAAAGTTTATATCAAAACTGTAGTCTGCACTCCTGAGAAGGCCACAAAAAGAATGTATGATAGCTTCTGGAGGCAATTCAAGCACTCTGAGAAGGTATATGTACATTTTTATCTTGTTCTGTTGACAGGATTCTAAATTATTTTCATTGAGCAGTTTATCTCAGGGCTCTTAGAACCCTCTAGTACTTATCACCCTTCTACCTAACCAAAAGAAAATGTGACAGGTGCTAGTACAGGTGCTCCTCAGGGAGAGCAGATTAGCCAGAGAAAGGTTCAAGGGTAATGGCAGTGGGTTAGGTAGGCTGTGGCCTGCTCAGGAGACACAGCTACAGACCTAGAGGCAGATGAGGGAGGGGTTCGTGTGATTTTACATTGCAGTAGCGCAGGAGGAGCGTTAGTATAAAATAACCTTTACTTTTAGGGAAGTAAGCAAGAATAGAAATGGGGTGGGGATCCTGCCATTCTTAAATTGTCTCAATGGAAATTGCAGAACATTGGTTTACATTGAATGCTGGTATTTTGATAAAGGAATGTGTAGTTGCCTACAAAGTTGTGTTAAATCTCTAGATATTTTATTAAACACAAATTGAAGTTCAGGAAAGCTTTCCAAAAGAATACTAGCCATAGCTTTTTTGATTTGTTCTCTAGGAGAATGACAATATCATGTGCCATTTAGTAGCCTGAACTTACTTCAGTTAAGCATCATTGTGTTCACTCATGAACATAGTGAAACAAACATAAGCATCCAGATATCCAAGATGTTAATGTGGTATTTCTTTCATATTCAGGTTCATGTTAATTTGCTTCTTATAGAAGCTCGGATGCAAGCTGAACTACTTTATGCTCTGAGAGCCATTACCCGCTATATGACCTGATGTCTTTACTCAGTTCAAAAAGTTGATGGAATGATCAGAAGATGGTGTCTACAAGGGAGGGAGGAATGGAGCCCCAGGACCAATGGTAGATCCAGCATTCACACCTCCATTGTGCCATGATTCCTTTAGTTTCTGCTCTTTTACTGTGGGAAAACCAGTGTGGGCACCAGTGGGAGTGCTTGGCTCCTCCTTCCAGGTTAGAGCTGTGAAAAAGGGCTGCGGTTCACAGGCTTCTGCTTTATTACAGTTTAAGAAGCTGTGTAACTCTCCAAATCCCATTGCTTTTTTGATAAATAAGATAACCAGAGTTGGAGCATGCAACATTGGGACTTGGATAATGACTAAAGCTTAGTGATGCATAAGGAATTTTAGAAGATTTTGGTGCTGCTCTTCCTGTCGGTAGAAAGAATTGGACTGGCTGCCCCAGTTAAGCTATTAGAAATACAGTGAACACTGCTACTATCTGAGCCTCTGTAATTTGTGTGGTTTAAAACAAAACTTGCATATGTGTTAATTTTGAATTTAAAATTGAAAAACCTAGACAAGCCTCACATCTCAATAATGTCTGTTTTGAAAGTTAACAGTTAATTTTCTTCACTGTAGTTTGCTTTTGAAAATACTATATAGGACAGGTTTTATTTTAAACATTTAGTTACTGTATGACACCAGTTGTTCTGGCCTTCCTTAGAAGATTGAGTCCTTCACAGTGCAATCTTCAGGAAAGTGCATAAGCTACAAGCACTGCTGACAGCCACGTGACGTGTTTCCTTGGGTAGTTTGTGATGCTGGCAGGCAGGCAGTCATTGTGCTGGAGTTTTGTTTCTAGCATCAAGACTGAGCAGTTCTAGGGGTGTTACACCCATAGCCCCCATGTTGAGAGTGGTACAGCTACTTAGATAACAAAGCTGTAAAACATGTTGTAGTATGGTAAAACAGATTTCATTTACAAAAAAAGAAAAGCTAACTTTGAAATGCAAATTGGTTTGGAAAATGTATTGAGAACTTTGTATTATGGAAGCGTGAATTGCTTTTAAGTTTGTCAGTATTATTGGTCTTTTTAAATAAAGGATAATTTTTTTCTCCATTTTTATTTCACTTTATTCATTTGTTCAACAGAAATATATTAAATGCCCACGGTGTGCCTGAGCACTTTGCTAGGGAAAGATATGAAGTTAAGACACAGTCCCTGCTCTCTTGGAGCTTACAGTCTAATACCAAGACAAGGCACAGACACATAACTTGTTATACATAATATTACGTAAGTGCATCAACCAGTTGCAAAACAAAGTGCTCCATAAGTCTAAAGGGAATGAATGTGGATTTTAAAGGATGGGCAGGAATGCAGGAGGTAAAAAACAGTGGAGGGCCAGGAAAGTGGAGTCCATCTGAGCTGGTGCCATATTGAGGACCATGAATGAATGCCAGGCAAAGGAGTTTGAGAGCTGCTTGGTAGACAAGGAGCACTGACTTTCATTTTTCACATTTCATTTCCTTAAAACCATTGTTTTGAGTCTTTCAATATTCATACGGTAAACAAGATTACTATTTCAGTGGTACTGTGCACACCTCCACTAAACAGCCAGTTGCAGATGAATTTTTCCTCTCTGATAGTAGTAAACCAGGCCCAGAATAAAAAGCTGCAGCCATTCTAGTGAAATCAAGAGATATGCACACCTTTATGATGATGTCAAAATTCTTTCTTTGGAAATTATTCTTGGGTTGTCCGAAATGAACCTTCACGTGCAATGTTATTTTAAAGGTTAAAAATAAAACTGTTAGGAATAAAAATAAAGCCAACATCAATCAGATCTGTACAACAGAGTTCAAATTCAGGTCTACTATAGCCCTCCATCAAGAAACAACTATTTCACATTCAGAGAGTGCCCATGTAGGACTGCAGTATATATAGTTTGGGGCCGACGCCCATGTCCTCAGTAGAGCTTACAGGAAAATACAATGATGACACAAAAATGTAAAAAAAAAAGCTATACAGGTACATTATCAGAGAATTAGGTTTTAAGATTTAAGTGTAGAGATCATCCTTTCACATTTATCAGCAGAAAGATCCCGTTTGTTTCCAAGTAAGCCCATTTTCAGTAGGTCCTGCCCATTTAACCTTCCTTAAATTGGCTACTGCAAGTAAAATATCTGTGGTAGGAGAAACTAGCTAGTTTGTTTCACCCGTTTTTATATTCCCTGCCTCGTGTTCCTAACCCCCCCCCCAAAAAAAAATTACCAGTGAAGACAAAGAACCTTTTTGGACCTAAACTTGTGCAACAAAAGAACATGAGGCTGAAAGATGGAGGGTTAACTGCTATAACCTTTGTTCACTTTGTTTTAAACAATTTACTTGAAAGTTTGATTTAACATCTGAATTTCTCTATCTTACCATTAATCTTAAACATGTATTCATTACCTGAACAGTGTATGCAATATGAAATTTTTTTAAAAAACTGTCACAGGTGCTTCCTGTACACAGTAATAGTTTTCCCCAAACTAAACACAGCATTTCTAATGTTACTGTAATCTAATAGTCATCAGACAAAAGTGGGGAAGGGAAAACCAGCTTTCAACCCTAGAGAATATTCTGTACACAGGAAGTTTTTCCTTCCAACGTAATGATGGGAAGACCATTTCTAAGGTTTTTCAGGAAAAGATAAGAAAAATCTCTTAATTTTCCATTTGTCGTAAGGCCAAAGCCAGGTGAGTGACTAAGTTAAACTTTTCAGCGTAAAGGGCAGTGATTGCTTTCCTGCATCATCATGGTTCTTGTCAAAGTTTGCCTACACATGGCACAAGGGAAAAGGGTCAATGGAGGGTGAAAACTGACTCCACACTTGGGGGTTTTTTTCTTACTTTGTTTCTCAAGCTGGGCCCAACACTCATATGAATTTAATGGCTTTTCCCTTGAGATTTATGAACCTAGGAAGATACCCTTAGCAGTAAAATAATAAAAATGTAAGAATATAAAGTCTTACCACTTGGAAAAAAAATGTATGAAAATTGTATGCCATTTTAATCGTTTTCCTTTGTTAAGGGAGGCTTCCTCATGTGAAGACTTTGGCCTTTGGAGTATTTTAGAAGGGACAAACTCAAACTCTGGTCAAAACCTGATACCTATGTTACACTGAGTAGAAAGTCATAGAGCTGGAGGGATCTTAAAAATAAGTTAGTCTAACCTCCACCTACCATACACACACATTCTTTTTTAAAAACATGATGAAACTAAGACCAAAGGGTAACATGACTTATGCATCGTCACCCGGATTATTGGTAGAGCCATGGCTGCCTCCTTAGGTTAGGCACAGTCAAAATATACTTCCATTAATTTAACTTCAAACATAATAAGACCAATATACTTCCAAAAGTCTTCATAGTCCCTCTCCACACACCACAAAAGGCTAGTCAGTCAGTCCATGGGATCCAGGTCTGGTATCTTATCTATCTAGAAGAACTTTGGGGCTTGGGTTCCTTCTAATAGGCCTCATGTTCCAGTTTTGTCTGGGAGAGAACGTCCCGTGCAAACCTGAGTGTGTCAACCAGGCCAATGCTCTGGTGATTTGTTGGCAACAGGTGGAATTGTGGATGAAATGATAAAGCTAGAATCAAACTTCATTTTCTAAATAGTTTAATAAAAGTGACTCCCTCTTTCTAGGACCTTTTGGTGACTAGTGTTTATTTTAAAGAGAGAAAAATATTTGTCTTGGTTCTTCTGTTTTTAGCATTTAGCCAAAGAGAAAAGCCCCTACTTCGCACCAAGTGCATGTGAATAAACAAAGTAACCAAAAGGAAAGGCAGTTGGCTTTGTTCAACTAGTGCTATTAGGGATATTTAGTGATTTGGACAGGGCAGTAGGAAACCAAAGCCTCCTTTTGTTATGGATCTTGTTTTAACCCTAACATGATCCCACCCCACCTTCCCCTTCCCCCCAAAAAGCCACTGTATCAGAAAAGGAATTCACGGCAGATAAAAGTGTGAATTAGCTAACTTGTTCTTTTTAAAATGTACTGCTGTTTTAGTACTACATTCAGATTTAAAGGGTTTCATCGACAATGCATATCTCGTTTAGTAATGAACAAATTAAACTGTCAAGAATTTAGATTCCAGAATATGTGCTATAGAAAAAGGCTGAAACTATTAAATCTTTAATAGAAGAGAGAATCATTTCATTAGAAAAATAATGAAAGTAGTTTATCTTAAATTTCTTAGAGTAGAAAGTTGAACAGTTTACATTCATTTTTTGTAATATATCGATTACAGCGGGAACTACTCGCTCCATTTAAGTCTACTCTCTAAAAAGCAGTACCTGATGATAAATGAATTGTTCAATATTTATTAATGAAAAAGTGTCTGAATTTATTACTTTTTATGAAAAGACCTGACTTGAATTCATCTTTATATTGTTAATCACCTACCAGACTTTTACCATATTAAAAAGAAGGAAGAGTTAGAGGTTCAAGGAAGGTGTGATGGCTCTGAAAACGTTTAAGAAGTTGCTGTGCCACAGGTTTGAATTCTGTTTCCCAATAAAGTTTGTGATAGTCTCTTAAGTCTCTGTCAAAACTATAATCCAATGCTAGTTCTTCATCTGCAAACAGAAAAAAAAAAGTAGCAGCCATGACAAGTTCATGTCGAATTATTACTTACTTTGGGAATCTAAAACAATCATATGTTGCTGTTGTTCAGGTTTTCATGTTTGGAGCTAAAAATGAAGAACTGACAATCCCTTTCTTCTCCCACCTGCTTCTGACTTTTACTTGTTAAGGCAAAAAGCTCCAGGCAAAAAGGAGACTTAGAGGGCATCAATGCACATGACTCACTTACCAAATCACATAATAATGAGAGCTGCTGATATTGGTACAGGCTAAGGTTTATAAAGCACTTTGGATACATGATCTTATTCAATCCTCACGACTCAACCAGTTAGATAACTTAAATACGTGCATTATTAGCGAAGGAAAGGGCAAACCACTCCAGTATCTTTGCCAAGAAAACCCCAAACGGGGTGATGAAGAATTGACTTGACTGAGAAACAACTTACCAATCATTAATGTGCATCGTTATCTTGAGCTACTAGATGCATTATTATCCTGAACTAAACGATGAGCAAAGAGTCTCAAAGGAGGTAAGTGACTTGGTGATACAACCAGGGCAGGTATCTCCTGACTAACAAATCCGGCATGCATTCTACACTACCATACTCTTCTTACATTTCCTCAATAAAGAATACTGTACCTTTACAGACAGAGAATCCCTCAGGAGAAACAGCTCAAATTTGACTGAATTCTCTAAAACCAAACCTTTCCTAGGTTGTACCTAATAAGGCTTCAACACAAAAGATAGAAGGCTTCTACTCTACACTGAGTGAAATTCTGGGGTGTGACTGCAATAAAATCTAATCCACATATATAGAAAAATAATCACTTCTGAAGTGCCAATGTATACCTTTGCTAACTTAATCCAAGATCAAGGAATGCTGAAAGCTTAAAACACTCCAGTAGTAATGAAAAGATAAATGTGATTACTCACACAAGGTATCTGAAACATTTCTCTGCCTACTCTCTAGACTGGCATTTCTACCTGCTTAAATGAAGCCTTTCTCCATTTTTGAAGACTTGAGAAAAATGCTTTAAATTTTTTTAAAATTTTCATTTCCTGGGGGAGTGACTTGAAATCAATATAATAAACTTTACTGATATAAGCTAGGTAGCTCAGTGGATAGAGCTCTGGGCCTGGAGTCAGGAAGACCTGAGTTCCAATTCGGCCTCAGACACATTAGCTGTTTGACTGGGCAAATCACTTAACTGTTTGCCTCAGTTTCTTCATCTGTAAAATGAGCTGGAGAAGGAAATGGCAAACCACACCATATCTTTGCCAAGAAAATTCCGTGGACAGTATAGTCCATAGGGTCACAAAGAATCAAAAAACAACTGAACAACAATAAAGTAGGCTGAATAGGAATTCAGTCTTAATGAAAGGTCTGTAATTCCTTTTGTCCTCCCTTCTGCTCATCTAAATCTTACCTCTCCTTCTTTGGGATCCTTCCTCTGGCCAACATTAATCGCTTTCTCCTTTGAATTCCTATTGCACCAATTTCCTGTTTAAGACCTTAAATGCCCTTTAATCGTCACATATATTAGTTTTATCTCTTCTTTCCTGGAGGATATGACTGGCCATCTGTCTGTCCACACCACATCACATCACTTTAAAAATTAAAAAAAAAAAACAGACAGCCCCAGCTTTCATGATTTGTCTTCTAAAGTATATGTGTTTAAAAGTATATGGGTTTAAAAGTCAAAATGCATTTTCTCATAGAAATAACACTAAAAATAGTGCTTAGACTTTCTTGGCCAGCTCATTTAACAATTTACTTCAAGTAACATTTCTATGGGAAAATGCATTCAGACTCTAATTTGGAGTGTCAGTGATACATGCCCCCACCTCCACCTTTCAATTCCAGATTAACTAAAGTGGGGTGGGAGTTGGGGTGGGGTGGAAACAGAGAATGGAAGGAAGAGATGTGGTTGGTTACTTTGGGGAATGAGGGTAAGGAGCTATAAGATCAGGGTCTCCTGCCAGTGTAAATCCTTGGGGACACTTCGGCCTGGATTGAAGAGTCATCCACCTTAGATTTCACAAGACAAAGCAATTTCAAATATTCCTAAGGACTTTGGAGAGTTGATTTTTCATTTAACCAAAGGCAACAAGAAACATCACTTGTTCTTCTTGCCCTGAAATGCTCAAGACGAGAAAAAATAAACAGACCGCTATTAAGATCATTAGAATTTTAAACACTGACATCCAGTGGATATATAGACTGCTAGATTTTTGTTGTTGTTCAGTCATGTCCAACTCTGTGATCCCATGGACCACATGGTCCATGGGGTTTTCTTGGCAAAGATAATGGAGTGGCTTGCCATTTCCTTCATCAGTGAAAGAAACTAAAACTTTGTTGACTATTCAGATCGCTCACTCTGGCTTTCTTTAAAAACATTATTAGAATATGAAGTATGCAGCCAGTATTAAATGACATTAAAAAAATCTCTAAAAATGACTACAGTGCTCAGCATTCTCTTCAGAATCAGCTCTCTTACATGTAATCAGGTCTTCAATGGGTTAGAGTCCAAGGCAAAGTAAATGCCAAATTTGAAGAAAAGTTAAAGACCAGAAGACAATGGTCTAATCTGACATATCTGAATAAGCCCTCAACTCTGAAAAATGGGAAATGGAAACATGTAAAGACATTCTACCACGATTTCTAAGATAAATTTAGCCAACGCAAAAATAGTAGTTACAATAAGGAAGCTGAAACAGCCTAGAAGCCATCTCGGCAAATAGACTGGCAGGCAGACTGATACCTAATCTCCTTGTCAAGCAGGGAGACATGATAAAAAAAAAAAGGGTCACACCAATCTGGAATAGAAATTATGTAAAACATCATGAAAGAGGATTAAGGGTTACAAGCAGCATCACCTCATAAAACAGAGGAAAGAACTTGAATAAAAAAGGAGCCTACAGAGAGACTGATGTGAGATCCACCTAAACCAGATTATCCTGCAAGCATTTACAGATGAAATCAGGACCAAAAAAAATGTGAAATTAAACAGGATTGCCAGTTTTTCCATATATTTCTCCCTCTTCTCCACCATTCTACATCTCAAAATCATAAACATGTCATTCCTTATTCTCTCCTCTGCTAATCTCTGACAAAAAAAAAGCCAGCCCTTCTCCTTGTCAAGGTCAAGTGCCCTACTAGTGCCCCCGATCTCCCTATCCCTTCTGGCAACTTTTCTCTTCAATCATTACACTCACCCATCCACCATCTTTACTATCACTGTTTCTACTGACTCCTTTCCCATTGCCAACAAAAATATCTAAAATTCTTCCATCTTCAATAAAGCTATCCCTTTATATTATCCTTCTGTATATTCTCCTTTTCAGTGCCAAATTCCATGGAAAAATCTTCTATATTCACTGGCTCTACCCTCTCACACCTTGTTCAGTTCTTTTAGTTTAGGTTTGCTTTTTTTTTTTTAAATTTCTTTGTATTCTGAACTGAAACACCAAATAAAATGAGCACTCAATATATAGGAGAATGCTAGATGTGAAACAGCAAATCTGTATTTTGGAGAGTGTGCTTTACTTTTTAAGCAATCGATAAATTTATAATTTCAAAGCTTCCCTGTTTATCTGTGATTCCTGATTGCTTCTGGCTTTCCTTCTCGTCTTTTTTTTTCTTTTCTAAGCGACAGAGGAAAAAATCCTATCCCTATTCTCCCTCTTCGTATGGCCTCTCTTCCCTTCTCCCCAACTGAAAAGAAAAAAGAAAAACAACCCCCCAGAAATATGCATGGCCAAGCACAGAAATATATGGCTCACTCTGCATCTTGAGTCTGTCTCCCTATTAGGGATGAGTGGCATGCTCCATCATCAGTTCTCTGGAATCATGATTGCTCATTACATCAATACAAGTTCTTAAGTCTTGAAAAGTTGTTTGTCTTTATAATGTTGATGTTATTTTTATAAATTGTTCTCCAGGTTCTGCCCACTTTACTAGGCATCAGATCACGTCATTCTTCCTAGGATTCTCTGAAACCATCCCCTTCATCATTTGTTATAGTGTAATATTCTATTCTCTCATGTACCATAATTTAGCCATTACCCAACTACTAAGACACCTTCATTTCCAATTCTTTGCCAGTACAAAAAGGTTATATTTTTGTAATTATGGATCCTTTTTCCCTTTCTTCAATCTTGCTGGGGCATAAGCCTAGTAATCATAGTATTTCTGGGTTAAAGAGCATGCATAGTATGGTTATTTGGGGGCAAACTGTTTTCCAGAATGGCTGGACCAATTCACAGCTCTAACAACAATGCATCAATGTGCTTGTTTTCTGGCAGACTCTCCAACTCTTGTCAATTTTCTTTTTTCTCAGCTTTGCCAATCTGATGAGTATAAGGTGGAATCTCAGAGTTGTTTTAATTGGCATTTCTTTATTAGTGATTTGAAGCACTTTTCATAAGTTCGTTGATGGCTTGGGTTCTTCTTTCTTTGCAAATTACCTGTTCATATCCTTTGACCAATTATCAGTTGTGGAATTACCCTTGTTCTTGTAAATTTGAATCCATTGCCTACATATCTGGAAATTAGACTTTTATCAGGGTAAATTGCTTCAATGACTTTCCCTCAATTAACTGTTTCCTTTCTAATTTTAAGTTTTAAAATTTTAGGTAATCAAAACTGTCCATTTTATCTTTTGTAGTTCTCTAAATTCTTCTCTATATTCCTTGTTTGATTATGAATTCTTCCTTTATCAATAGACCTATAAGATTTCCTTATTCCTTACTTTCTAATTGGTTTATGAAATGACTTTTTAATCTCTAAGTCATGATTCATTTGGAGCTTATCTTGGTATATGATATGAGATGATAGCCTATACCTAATTTCTTCCAGATGGCTTTCCAGTTTTCTCTACAATGGAGGTCCATTTGCTTCTGTATCTTGAGTAATCTATTCACTTTACAACCTCTCTATATCCTACTCACTTCTCAACTCCTTGCAACTTCTCAACCCCTTTCTCTCTGCAAAGGTAACAAATGTTCCCTTAATTGCCAAAGGCAATAGTCTTTTCTCAGTCATCTTTTCTGACCCTTCTGCAGCACTGGACACAACCTCTCCCTCCTCCTGGATCCTCTTTTCTTCATGGTCTTGGTGACATCAATCTTCTTAGTTCACCTGCTACCTGGCTGGCTGTTCCTTCTTAATTCTCCTGGACAGATCATCATCAATGCCCAACCCCTATCTTCAGGTGTTCCTTGGATGTCCATCCTGAGCCCTCTTCCTCTGCATTCTTTCTCATGGCAATTTAACCAATTCTCAAGCAGACAGCACCCAGAACTATATATAAAGCCCTTGTTTCTCCCTTGAACTCCAGTCTCACATCACCTGATTAGATATTTCCAAACAGCTGTTCTATAAGCATATCGCAGGGGCAGGTAGGTGGCTCAGTGGATAGAGTGTCAGGCCTGAAGTCAGAAAGACTCATCTTCCTGAGTTCAAATCTGGCCACAATAACTTACTAGTTGTGTGACCCTGGGCAAGCCACTTAATCCCACCTGACTCAGTTTCCTCATGTATAAAATGAACTGGAGAAGGAAATAACAAACCACTTCAGGATCTTTGCCAAGAAAGCCCCAAATGGGGTCATGAAGAATTGGCCATGAATGAAAAACAACTTACCAAAAAAAAGCAACTGACTAAAAAACATCACACTCAACATGTACAAACTGGGACTTATTACTTCCCCCTTCCTCAACCCACTTGTTTCCCCAATTTCCCCACGTCAATCAAAGACCAGGAGGTCAAATACTAAAGATGAAGCTTAAATATTTTGGTCACATAATGAAAAGACAGGACTCACTGGAAAAGACCCTGATGTTGGAAAAGGTGGAAGGCAAAAGGAAAAGGGAATGACAGAGGATGAGATGGATAGATAATGTCATGACAGCAATTAACATGAACTTGGACAGGCTTCAAGAGATAGTGGAGGATAAAAGGGCCTTGCGTGCTATGGTCTATGGAGTCACAGAGTCAGACTGAACAACAACACCAAAGGTACCATCTTCCTTCTAGTCACAAAGATCACAACAGTCATTCTCAATTCCTCTTTCCATTGTTCTACCAAATCTTATCAGTTACCCAATCTCACCAAGTCTATGTCCACATCTCTTGCACCTATCCTCTTTTCTCTACTAGCACTACCACCAGCCAAGAAAGGCCCTCATTCATCACCTCTAGCCCACACAACTGAAATAGCCTCCTATTCCAATTCTCAAGAAACACAAGATTTAGAAGTAGAAAGGACCCCTCTCAGCCATCTAGTCCAATCCCCACTATAATATACCTGACAAATGATCATCCAGCCTCTTCCTGAAGCTCTCCATTGAGAGAAAATGCAAGGTAGCTTGTTCTACTCTGGGACAGCTCTAATTGTTATGGAGTTTTACTGACATCAAGGCTAAATTTCCTCTTTGCAATGTTCACTTATTGCTTCTGGTTCTGTCTTCTGGAACCAAATAGAATAAGTCCGATCCCTCTTCCACACAACAGCACTTCAGAATATTTGAATAAGAGCCTTATGTCACCTCTACATGTTCTCTTCTACATGCTAAGCGTCCCCAGTTCCTTCAGCTCAAGGCCCATCACCACCTTGGTTGCTCTCTTCTGGATCCTTATGATCCCATCGATTTCCTTCCTACTTGTGGTACCCAGAACTAAGCACAATGCTTCTGTTGTGATCTGTCCAGGGCAGAGTACAGAGGGACTGTTGCCTCTTTATTCCTGGAAGCCATGCTTCTCTTAATGCAGTCCAAGGTGGTGTTCACTTGTTTGGCCGCCATGTTATAAAGTTGATTCAAATTGAAGGTGCAGTCCATTAAAACCCCCAGATCTTTTTCAAACAAGACTGTTGTCTAACCATGCCTCATCTATCATTTCCTTACGAAGCTGATTTCTGAATCCAAGTGTAAGACTATATTTATCCCTATTGAATGTGATATTTTTAAATTCAGGCCAATGCTCTAGCCTGTTAAGATATTTTTGGGTCCTGTCATCTCCTCTCCAATCTGACATCCACAAAGCTGCCAAACTGATATTACCAAAAGCAGAAGTATGACTGTGCCACTCACGCTCAAGAAACTCCAGAGGCTTCCACTGCCTTTAGTAATAAAATACAAGTTCTTTGGTGCGGCGTTAAAAGCCCTAAACAATCTGGTTCTAGCCTACTTTTCCAGGATTTTTATGCATTACTCCTTTTCACAAGCTATATTCCAGCCAAACTGGCCTTGCAAATAACAATTCATTTCTGGTCTTCCTGCCCATGCCTGGAATGTACTCCTCACTTCCACTTCTGAGAATTCCTACATCCCTTAAAGGCTCAGATCGGGTGTCACACACATTATTGGAGGCCTCTCCTGCTCCACGCAGTTTAGTACAGGCGGACTCCCCTCCTGATATTATTTTATATTTACTTTGTGTATATTTTATATTTATTTTTCCCTACAGTAGAATGTAAGCTCCTTGAAGTCAGGGCTATTTATTTGCTGAATAAAACAAGGAATAAATATTAGACAAGCTGATTTCATTCTAGTTCAAAATAAGAAAATAGAAAAATGGAACAGACTAGACAGGAAGTATCAGAAACAACTGAATTCAATAACCCAGTGTACCATAATAAACCACAAACATAAATTACCTGGGGATTCTTACCTTCTTGGAAAGAATTACTGGGAGAGCTGAAAAGTAGTCTAATAGAAATTAGGTTTAGACCAATATCTTATATGATATGCCACAATAAACTGAAAATGGAATAGTGAGCTGAATATTAAATATTATTAAATACAAATATCTTAAAATATTAAGTATAAATATATTAAACATTAAAGGTATTTTTAAAATAGAGTATAACCAAATCAGGTACCTTTTCACATCTATGGCTTAGGGGGTAAAAACCAAAGGACAGAGTCAGTTTTTCAAAATATAATAGAAAAATTTTGATTTCATGAGACTGAAAAACTTGCACATGCAAAATTAATGAAAGTGGAATAAAAAGTGATATAATAGGAGGAAAATTTTTTGTGATAAATATTTCTAAGATTCTGATATGTCTAAGATTCAAGATATGAAGGCAGGCAACTAATAAATACATAAGACCAAAGGCCATTCCTCAAAAGTGATGAAAAAGATATGAAAAAGCATTTCTCAACATCAAAATTGCAAGCTATTAACAACTATATGAAACAGGGCTCCAAATAACTAATAATGATAATCAAAACAATTCTTAAAATTTCACCTCACATCCAGCAAATTGGCAAAGACAAAAAAAAAAAGAAATCTAGAAATTGACAGTATTGGAAGGTTTTTGGAAAGAGGTACACTAATTCACTTTTGGTGGAGTTGTGAATAGGCAAAACCATTCTGGAAGGCAATCTGAAATTATATAAATAACGTAACTAAAATATCCACACCTTTTGACCCAAAGGTTCTCCTGTTAGGCATATGCCCGAAGGAGATGACTGATTAAAAAAAAAGGGGTGGGGGGAAGCGGGATCTTGTAGACACCAAAATATTTTACAGCAGCACTTTTTGTCTAGTAAAGAACAAGAAACAAAAGTGCTGCTTTAAGTGTTTTGGTGACTACAAATGTCTAGAAACCAGAGATACAAATACAAAAGTGAGAACGTCCCTGCCCCTCAAGAGCTGACATTCTGATAGCTGGAGACAACACATTCAGGAGAATGGTGGTCAGGAAAGGGAGTTTTGGTTTGATGAAGCACAGAGATGGCGACTGGAGCCACAGTATAGTTAAAATTCCAGTAGCAATGGCAGTATTCATTTGATTACTGTCTACAATGCTTTTCGAAAAGCAGAAGGCAGGGTTTGGGGGAGATGGATGGAAAGGGAGATAGCAAGAATTCTAGATTGGTCCTGATGTCCTAATTAATGGTTGAATGGGATGTAAAGCCCTAAGTGTAAGGAGATAGGGGAAATCCTCTGAGAATTGCAAGAGTTTAAAACTTATCTTGATATATTTTTCCTGGATGTAGCAAGCTTAATACTGATCTTACAAATGTGATTTTCCAAATCAATTCCAGTTTTCAGTCTATTTTGTCAAAAGTACATAACTTCTCCATTAATATACATATTACCCCAAAGAAGTAATATAAAGCACCTAGATCAAAAAAAATCAAACCATAGATACATACATAGATGGATAAGATACAAAAATATAGTTTATACTTTAAATGTGGTGAAAAAATTATTTAAGAAGGTAGAAATGTTCCTTAAATAAATACAAAACCTTGTGAAAAAACTAGCGTACCATTTCTCTAACACAAAACTACAAATACAGTCTACTAAGAACGAAAGTAAAAGCATAACTGGATGAAGACACCATGGTATTACAAAATTAAGTTTATAATCTTTGGCTAACTACTTCAGACAAGTGTTATAACAACACCTACAAAGAAATATAAACAAGGGGTATTGACTAGAAACTACATGATCTGAATTATATGGATTGAGTCCCCAACTCTGCGACTAACTGTTTGGCTTTAGAAAAATTACTTAACCTCAAGGGACTTCAAGAAGAATTTTCTCATCTATCAAATAGATGTAACAATTATCTGTCCTAGATACCTCAGAGCTGTGCAGATCAAACGAAATAATGTTGTGAAACCACTTTGAAAACTATACAATGCTATATAAATGCAAATTTATGGCAGTACTTTTGCTGTTTCAAATGTCCTTTCCTTCTCACAGAAATACATCTGCACATCTTCCACCCCTCATCTCATATACCAGAGTGTATATAAAAAATGACCACCTTTCAGCATGGGTACACAGGAACTTTGGGCTCATTCACTGTAAAATCCTTACCTAAAAATGATGACAATAAGACTAAGAGTGCATTCGTGTCCTCATCTCCAAAACACGAGGAAGGATTCGGGACATTTTCACTGTAATTCCATAATGTTTTACAAACCAAGCAGGCCAGCTGCCAATCGGTAGGGCCAAAGTCTCTTAAACAATCCACCAACCTGTTTTGGTAAAGAAACAGGAGTCAATTCAGTTCCATTCAACAACAATGTGCCACATGCTGAGTATGCTGAAAGGCTGAAGGGGAGATTAAAAAAAAAGATCAAAACTGACACACAGACCGTACCCTCTACATCTGGGAACTTGAGCTATAAAGATGGCGGGGAAGAGGGAGGGATAAACTACACAGAGTGATTGGGGCAGCAGCCACTTGGAAATTCTGCATTTTTAAAAAGTGGTCATATTTACCTTTTGATTCTATTTTAAACATATACTTCACATTGCATTTAATCATGTTCTATTGAATAATTAATTCATTTCTAAAATTATTATCTTTGTCGATGAGCAATCCCTTCCTCTGGAGGTTTTGAAAGAGTAAATGCAACAACAGTTCTGGGGGCCCTTTCATGTGCGAGTGACTGATACCAAACTAATGCGTACCCTTCCCCACACCCACTCTCTACGCCAAAGGGCTCCCCAAGAGGACCTGGGCTATTGGGCACTGGACCCTGAAGCTTGACTTTGACTGATCTTCATTCGGGCTCCCTTCAATGTACTCAGCAAACTGACACCAACACACCACACCACACATACAGACTTTTACCATCACTTTACTGCTTCACATACATACTCTTTCTTCGTGTTCCCACCAAGGCATGAGACCTGAGAAAATAATTAACAGCACTTCCTCATGTAGAAATTGGGGCCTCTCGACCTGGAATTAATCTCTTTACTTAAAAATGACAGAAATTGCCACTGTCCCCTACATGCAAAGTCCTCTGGATCTTAAAGACATTTAAAACATTCAATATGTTTTGAACTGTGTCTTTTAACTCACTTTTTAATTCCGCCCCCTTCTTTTAGGATTACACGCTTGTCTTTGTCGACAGTGAGGTTTAGGAGAACTCCACAGGCAGAAAAGCAAACATCTTGGTGCTTAGCATCCAGCAATGCAATCATAAATTTGTAGACTGAACAGGAAAAATAAAGGGTAGAGCAAAGAGAAGAAAAACATAACAGTGAAATCTTAAGAGGATGCACAGTCTCATTTGGTCAAAAAGGAGAGTGGGAAGGAGAAATGCCTTGCTTAGAGTCCACGATGGAGCAAAACACAGAACCTAAGCCTACTGACTTAGGACATTTTTCATAAGGCATTACTAGGGCATAATAAAAGTAATTAATAATAATAATAACAAAAACAAAGGCCACTTACATTTGCATAGCACATTATGGTATTACACACTTTTTATACATGGTCTTCTAAAGGTATACTTGCAGGTGGACAGATGGTATGGATTAGTAGAAACAACACTGAACTTGGTATCAGCAAGTAGAAAAGGAGAGACTGAAGATAAATGAACGAGGGGGAAATAACATAAGAGGGCAATCTGTTAAAGAGGACTGGATGGTATGGAATCACTTGTGCATATAGAGGGGTTGGGTTAGCTTTGGTAAGGAGAAGGGCCACCTCTTCATGTGAGACAGGAGTAAAGAAGATAATGGGCAGAAAGCATCTGAGTGATGTAAGAAAAGGGATCTTTTGATGAATAGCCTTAATTTTTTCAGTAAAATATGAGGTAAGGTTCTTAGTTGAGGAGGGAAGAGGAGGGTAAGGAAGAGATGGACCCATAAGAAATTTGTGGAGGAATGAAAATGCTTAAAAGAACCACTGTGATGAGTGGGATAGTGAATTAATGAGGGAGGTATATCAAAGGACTGCTTCACCACAGTGAGGACCTAGTTGAAGTTACATAACAAATCTGCAGTGGACCCAGTCAACACAGTTTCATGATTTTCTCCACCTCTGTTCAACAACATGTGTACTGGAGCCTTCAAAGGCAGCAGATGTTAGGAGTGATCCAAAGCTGAGGTTTGGCAGGGCAAAATCAGTGACATAAGAAGGCAAAAGTGACTCAAGAGAATTGTGTAGAGTTGAACTGGGTCACCAATGCACGGGTCATGATGGGAAAAGAAGCCAGCGTAGGGGTGATGGGCTGGTAGAGAACTGAGACATCCAGGTATTGGAAGTCATAATGCAGACACATAACCACAAATGAAGTGAAGGCAAAAGGAGAGTTAGAATGATGCCATGTTGTGATCAGATAAGGGAATTTCATAGTTGATTAACATGCAAGTGGCACATTTGTGGGTGGTGGCAAGATCAAGAATCTGACCATCTTTGTATGTGGCTGAGGGTGGTGAAGAGTAATAGGTCTTATGAAATGAGTAAGCCATGGCATGTGAAGTTAGGTTGGTGAGGAAATGTCAATATATATGTTGAAGTCATAGGAGGGCAGGAGAAAAGGACTATAAGGAGGTCAGTAGAAAACAGGTATTAGGGACTTCCGATTCTGGGAACCAAGATGGCAGAGTAAAAAGGTAGTCACTCTTACCCTCCCCTATAAACATCTGAAAACCCAGAAAACATCACCCTAGAAAAAAAAACCCTGGAACAGCTGAACTAGAAGAAAGACAGGGAACAGCAGTGCAGCAGCCCAGCAAATGGGTCTCCCAGTGCCTCAGCAAAAATAAGGGAAGCAGCACTACAAAGGGCCCCAGGCAGATAAACACCCTACAGTACCCATCTAAAAGGAGCTGAAGAAAGCAACCTAAAGTCTTCCTGAAGTACCAGCCTTGCTGATTCCAACACAACACCAGGTAAGCTGTCAGAACCCTACAGCCTCCAACTGTCAACCAGGAGGAGATCCTGAAGCCCAGGTGATAGAGCAGGCAAACACCAACACCTGGACCTCTGAGTGACTCACTGAGGGTGGGGGAACCATGGAAACCAGCTCAGAAAACCTCCAGGTGCCTTGGGACTTTACACAAAGGAATCTCCCAGTGCATTAGCAGAAACGAGGGAGGCAGCATTGCAAGGGGCCCCTGGCAGATAAACACCCTACAGTACCCATCTAAAAGGAGCTGAAGAAAGCTAAAGGAAAGGAAAAGCAGGCAACCTAGAATTGCCTGAAAGTTCCAGCCTTGCTGATTCCAGCCCAACACAAGGTAAGCTGGCCAAAACCCTACAGCCTCCAACTGCCAACATAAGAGGCCCCAAGTACACAAAGCCAGTGACCAAGACCTAGGCTCCCAACACAAGAAGCTTGGGTCACTGCTCTCTGTTCCCCAGCAAGAGAGATCAATCTCTTTAAAGGCCAGGGAATAAAGAAACCATGAGTAAAAAGAAACGTACCATTGATTCATATTATAAGAAGAGTGAAGATCAAGACAGAAATTCTGAAGAGGACAACATTGTCAACAAACCCACATCTGCAATATCAAAAGGGAATATGAACTGGTCTGAAGCCCAAAAAGCCTTCTTAGAAGACCTCAAGAAGCATTTTAAAAGTCTAATGAGAGGGGTAGAAGAGTCCTTAAAAAATACAATTGGCCAATTGGAAAAAAAGTACACTGAAGAAAACAAGTCCCTAAAAAACACAACTGGCAAACTGGAAGAAAAGTACACTGAAGAAAACAAATCCCTTAAAAATACAATTGGCCAACTGAAAAAGGAAGTATAAAAACTAACAGAAGAAAACAATCTGTTAAAAACTAGAATTGGACAAATGGAAACTAATGACTCTATGAGAAAGCAAGAATCAGTCAAACAGAAACAAAAATATGAAAAAATGGATGAAAGCATAGAATACCTCATCGGTAAAACAACTGACCTGGAAAATCGATCCAGGAGAGACAATTTAAAAATCATTGGACTACCTGAAAATCATGATAAAAAAAAAGAGCTTGGACAGTATCTTTCAGGAAATCATAAAGGAAAACTGCCCGGAAGTCCTACAACCAGAAGGTAAAATAACCATAGAAAGAATACACTGCTCACCACCTGAAAGAGATCGCAAATTGACAATGCCAAGGAATATAACAGCAAAATTCCAAAATTACCAGATGAAAGAGAAGGTGCTGGAAGCAGCCAGAAAGAAACAATTTAAATATCATGGAACCACAGTCAGGATTACACAGGACCTTGCAGCTTCTACATTAAAAGACCACAGGGCATGGAACATATTCTGTAAGGCAAAGGAGCTTGGATTGCAGCCAAGATCAACTACCCTGCAAAAATGAGCATGATTTTTCAAGGGAGGAGATGGATATTCAATGAAATAGGGACTTCCAAACCTTCCTGATAAAAAGACCAGAGCTCAACAAAAAATTTGATCTTCAAGTACAAGATTCAAGAAAGACATAAAAAGGTAAATGAGACAGAAAGATACAAAATGTTGTTAATAAAGGCAGACTGTTTACATCCCTACAAGGGAAGATGACACTTGCAACTCTTGAGAACTGTATTGTTATTACACCATGTTAAAGGAGTATACATAAAGGGGGTGGATATTAGTTAACTTTGATGTAATAATAAAAAAAACTATAATCAAGTGGGTTAAATGGATCCAAGTAAGTGGATTAGTCTGATCTTAGAAAATGTACTGAGAAAGGAGGAGGAAGACAAGGGTAAATTACATTATAGGAAAAGACAGAAAATCCTATTACAGCAGAGGGAAAGAAGGGGGGGGGTGAGCATTGTTTGAACCTTGCTCTCATGAGATTTGATTCAAGAAGGGAATAATATAATCAGTTAGGTATGGAAATCTAACTTGCCATATGGGCAGTAGGAGGGAAAAGGGGAAACAAAAGGGAGGGGGGAGGGGGATAACAGAAGGGAGAAGAGACTGAAGGAGGTGGTGGTCAAAAGCAAAGTAGTGGTGAGGGGGGAAGGGAGAGAGGAGAAAGAATAGCATAAACAGGGAAAAAAAGATAGAGAAAAAGACACAGGTAGTAATCATAACTGTGAAAGTTGAATTGCTAACTTTTTTTTTTCTCTCTTCTGTTGAGTTTTGTTTCCTCTTTCTGATGGTTCCTCCTATTGGTTTTAATTTTTACTTACAACTTCACTAATGTGAAAATATGTTTAATAGGAATGTAGATGTATAGCCTATATCAGATTGTGTACCATCTTGGGGAGGGTGGTGGGGAGGAAGGGGGAGAAAAATTTTAAACTCAAAAGCATATGGAAGTGATTGTTGATAACTCAAAATAAGTGAATAAAAAATTTTTAAAAATAGAAAAAATAAAAATGAAATGGACGTACAAAAAAAAAAGAAAACAGGTATTAGAATTTAGATTGGGTGGTAGAAATAGATGGAAGGAAGAGAGGTTGCTGAGTGATGGGGACAGAAGTGGAATGGAGAGCAAGGAATATTGTAACTATTCCACCTCCACCCGTAAGTCACGGGGGATGAGTGAAAATGCAGTTAGTGCTGTAAAGGGCAGCAAGGGAGACTGCATCGTTAGAGGAAGCCAGGTTTCAGCAAGAGCTAGAACGCAGAAGGAGTGAGAAAGGAAACAATTTAAGATGAAAGCAATGCCTATGGAATAGGCATTCCAGAGAGAGCAGTGGAAGGGGTGGGCAGCTTTGGAGTTGGGACACTGCGAGTAGAGATGAGAGAGTTTGAAAGAATAAGGAATCAGGAAGTGGCAATGAGAAATGGGATTTGGAGGGGAAGGGTATGATGGAGGGTGATGTTTGTTAATCACTAAGTCAATAGTTTAGGTAAATTTTCAATGTCCATAGGGCTTTGGCCTCCGGTTGGAGTCTCACCTATATGAGAATATTGCTATATTAATCTGATTATAGGAAATACTTTTAGTATAGCCCCAAACTGACTGTATTTTCAATTTATACCAATATGTTTTTCTTGTAAAAATTTAAATTTTTGTTAATTTTTATTTTGTGTCTGTTTTATTTCATCATTCATCTATTTATTTTTACAAGCATTATCCCTCCCTCCTACTCCCCTCCCACTAAACAATAATAGAAAATAAAGAGAAAACTCATAACAAATATTCATAGTCCAACAAAACAAATTCCCATATAGACCATGTTAAAAATTGTGTATCTAATCTTTCATTTTCAATCCATTACCTCTCTTTCAGGAGGTGGAGGACCTGTTTCATTCCTTTGGGTTCATGATTTATCATTGCCTTTAGGAGAGTTCTAAAGTCTTTCAAAGCCATTCTTCCTTTGGAAGAGACCTCATTCTTCAGGGTACTGTAGTTCTATGGACCAATATGGCACCTATTATGGCAATCCATATATTTCCTAGGGTTGCTGTGAGAAAACTGTTTTTGCAAACTTCAAGGTGCTATATAAAGGTGAGCTATCATCACTGTTATTATTACTGTACATAAACACACCATGTTGGAGCATCTTCCGTGCTCCCACCAGCCAACGTATTTCAGGCCTGTGCTGAAACTCCACAATGTACAGAAATAGTGTAAAGCAACGGAGATAAGAAGTCTTTGGGCCTGAGGTGCAGCCTAGAGATAGGAAGGGGGAAAGGGGAGTTCTGATTACTGCTCTGGCAGCACCCCCACCACCTCTGCCTTTCTGTATGCTTGACTCTCATCCCATCCACCCTTCCTAAGGGAAAGAAAGAAGAAGTCTCTTTGTCTAGGAGGAGGAAGGGAAAATACAGATGTAAAAAAGGGTGATGTCTCTGCAACTCCTCACTTCTAAGAATTCTGCCCTGACCACAGCTTGATTTTCAAGGGTCAGAAGAGAATCTCTAACTCAAGCTATGGCCGTGGGTGGTTTCAGTGAAGGTCTCAGCAAGAATTTGCCAAGCCCTGACCTAATCTCTGAAAAATCAACTCTACAGATGAAAGAAGCATGATAACTGTTAGTAAAAGGAATGCACTCAGAACCCAGCTTAGACTTGGGCAAAATACAGAGACCAGCAGTCAGCCAGCTGATAAGCATTTATTAAGCCCCTACTATGCACCAGGAATTTGTGCTAAGTACCTTAGATACAAAGAAATGTAAAAAACAGACAGCCCCTGCTCTCAAGGAAGTCCTAATCTAATGGAGAAGATAACACACAATCAACTATGTACAAACAAACTATGAACAGCATAAATTGGATATGTTCAATAGAAGGAAAGCACTAGAATAAACGGGAATTGGGAAAGGTTTGTGGTAGATGGTGGGATTTTACCTGGGACCTGAAGGAAACCAGGGAAGCCAGAAGGCAGAGATGAAGAGAGAGAACATTCCTGGCATGGGGGTCAGCCATTGAAGATGGAGTGTCTTGTCTGAGAAACAGCAAAGGGACCACTGTCACCAGATCAAAGAGAATGTGGAGGGGGGGTGTAGAGTATAAGAAGACTGGAAAGGTTCACGATGGGGAAAACCAGGTTACGAAGAGCTTTGAGTGCCAAACAGAGGACTTAATATTTGATCCTGGAAATAATAGGGAACATTGTGTTGGGGGATGTGGGGGAAAGAGGAGGTAATGTGGTCAGACCTGCCTAACCCTTACTACTAGGAAGTTAGCCATAAAGCTTTGTACTTAAAACAAAAATAAGATCATGACATGCTAAGTTTAGCCCCCAAACCATTTGATTAATGCAAAAGTCAAAACTAAATCAGCAAGAGGTGTTTGCAAATGAATTTGTGCCATGCACTCACCATTTTTCTGTACAATGAAGTCACAAATCTCATCATATTGGGAAAGATTGCCAAAGACTCGCACAGCCTCCAGGATTCCATCCATGTTGCTGCTCATTAGAAGCTTTAAGAGCACTGATTTTTATTTTTTTTAGGAAATAAAGTAGAGGTAGTTAAGAAATGCTTTACTTCTGTAGCCCTTACAACACTGACATCATACTAAATACAAGTAACTGAATAAGTACAAAATCATATTAATAAAACCAAATGGTGAATTACTATGGCAAATGGATTTTTTAGCTTTGCTCTTAGGAATCAATTAAGGCTCTTTTTTTGGCATTTTAATTGAAAAAAATACTAATGCTTTGTATCTAAATAATGAAATCAAATGTTAAAGAAGCGACGATTAACCCCAAGTGACCCAGAATTTTACATTCGGCGATGCGCAGCTTTCGGTCACGAATAACAGAATTCTTCACTTGGTAGAAAGACAAGTTGTTGATTGTTGCTGTAGCATTAATTACCAGTTCCTCACATTTATCAATAGATTTATATTCTGAAAAAAAAATAATGGAAGTAAGACAAGGGAAACCACTCACCACAACCAGAGGACAGAGCACATCATAATTTCAATGCCGGCCATAACCTGCCCTTTGACAGTTTTATTTAGGATCTATTGTCCAAGGCTAGAATCAATCAACCAACAAGTATGGTGTTTTTTTTTTAATGGTCTACTTTGTGCTAAGGCCCCATTTTAGGCACTAGAAAAAAACATTTAAAAAACAATAAAGACATTAATAATAATTCCTTACATTTGTATCGTGCTTTATGGGCCGTTTCATATGATCCTTAACACTTGTGAAATAGGTAGGACAGGTATTAATATCTTTCAGCTCCAAAATCTGATGTCACTACGATCTGACAATCCCCTATTTTAAAGACTGAGGCTCAGAAAGATTTATATTATCATAGGTTCTTAGATCTTGAGCTAGAAAATACCTCGGAAGCCATTTAGTATAAGCCTCAGTCAGTCATTCTACAGATGAGGAGACTGAGACCTCGACGGAGTGACTAGCCCAAGACCATGCAGAAGGTAAACAGCTGGTGCGGATTCTGAACCCAGGTCCTTACTACAATGCAGTGTTCTTTCATCTAACCTTCCTTTGCCTGAGATCTCTGGCCTCTGAGGTCTCTCCAGCCTGTGAGGTCTGCAGCTCACTACCAGCATACAGAAGACAATTCTTCCCTCCATAGCATACGTTAAATATCTCTTTCTTCCCTAAACTAGTTTGCTTATACATTTCTTCACTGGGAGTGCAAAAAAGGAAATGGTAATAATAGAAGAAAGCAGCAGAAATGCAACTCTAATCTGAGCACAGTGTTAAGCTTCAGAAACACAAAAGGGGTGTATTTATTAGACCACTTATTCTGATGCAAATTTGTACTCTCTCTCAAATTGGCTTGTGAAATCAAATTCTAAAGGGAAGCTCCACAACTCTTTTATTCATTTCCTATTCATTCCAGATGAAATTCACCACAAAAGCTATTCCAATCCCATCACAATCACCCTTCTCAGCAGGTGAACTCCTCTGCTTCTACCTTGCAGAGACTGAGGCAATCCATTGAGAACTCTCAACCTCTCTCTCCTCCATCTTAAAAAAAATCTGTCTTCACTCTACGTTTTCTTCCCTCATCTCTGAGGAAGCATGCCTGCTCCTTGCCAGGCTAACCACAGTCCTCTGGATTCTGACCTCTCCTGTCTCCTCCAAGACTTTGTGCCATCAATTACACGGTCATCGATCCAGAACTGGAAGGTACCTCAGAGGTCATTCTAGTTCAACCTCCTTATTTTTTACAGATGATAGAATGAGATTCTGAGAAGTTAAGACTTGCCCAAGGTCACTTGGGCAGTATGATTCTTGGCCATCACAGCCAGTGTACTTTCCACCACAGCCCAAGTTTTCAATCTCTTCTGCCTGCTGACTCCTTTCCATTCACCTATATGCCTGAGTCGAACCTCCACTAGCCTTATAAAATATTCCACTGATTACCCTTCAATAACAGTTCCCACTGCTATAGTACTTTAAGGTCCACAAAAGCATTTCTTCACAATGACCCTATAGGTAGTGGAAGTATCAACTCCATTTTATACATAGAGGATGGCTGAACAAATTACAGTGTAGTCTTTTAGGGAAGGATGGAGGGGATGGTTTCAGAGAAACCTTAAGTAAACTGGTACAGTCAAGTGAGTAGAACCAGAACACTTTTTGCAATAACACCAGTAAAAATGCAGTAATTAACAATCCTAAGAGATTTCAGAACTCTGATCCATGGAATGACCAACTCAATTCCAGAGAATTCATGATGAGACATGCTCCTCCTGAAAGAGAGTTGTTGGATTTAGACAGATAGATACACAAATATATACAATGTATATATACGTATGTGTGAGTAAATAGATACACACACACATATACCTACATAATATATACCCTTATACATACACATACATATGTATTGGACTTGACCAATGCAGAAATTTGTTTTACCCTGACTGTGTATTTGTTAGAAGCATTTTGTTTTTCTTTATTTTTTAATGTTAGGGAAAGTGGTGGGAGGAAGAGAAGACAGATTTTTATTAATTGAAAAAAAAATTTTTAGACCAAAGGCTGGATCAGACCAGGTGACTTCTGAAGTATCTTCCAACTCTAAGATCTGTGATCTTATCATCCTGTATACTAATGGCAGGCAGGAATAACTAACCTAAATGAAACTAAATCAACTTCACAGATGATCTGCAAACCACATCTTAGCTTCCTTCCAATCATTTACACATAATCTTTTATTGAGGTTGAGAGTAACAGCCGAGCTATCTTGGACTTATTTCTTTTAAACTAAGAACAGGTTGGGTGGTACATTGGAAGAGGCATCAGAAGTACAGTTGAGAGCTGAGTGCCGGCATCTCAGACCTAACACCAGCATAGTGGCCATGAGCAAGTCCCTTAACATTTCTAAGCCTCAGTTTCCACATATGTAAAATAGGCATAGTGATATACTACCTATGTCACAGGACTGTTGGGTGGAAAGGGCTGTGTAAATCTTAAAGCCCCATGTAAATCTGAGTTATTTTTGTTATCATTTTCTTCATATACTTGAGGGTACAGATTAGGAGAAACAATGATAACTGTGAGTATTTTACTTTTATGTAACATATAACTGAGATAGTACAGGTAAAAAGCACTCTGAAAATAAAGTGCTACATGTTCGTGACTGATATAGGTAGAGCAATATAAATTAAAATTAAATAGTATATCTAGGAACATTACTTTTGTCTGACAAACTTTAACCATGTGGAATTCACCACTGTGGAATTCAGAGGACAAGTCTGAACTTTTAAACTTTTTGTTTAACTTGGCCAGTTGTTGATCCCTATCATGGTATTTATAAGACAAGCCTGAGTACCCAGTACAAAACTTTCTGTCCTGTGGCCTGAGAAGGCTGGGGTTGTCATTTGAAAACACTGCATGTGAAAACACAGAGCTGCATTAAAATGGACCAGTTGTCCTAATTAGGGCCCGCCACCCCCATACCGCTAAAACACTAATCATGCTGGAGCCAGAAGACGGCATTCCAACCTGCCTAAACAACTGAATAAAGATGACGGAAAGAAAGCCTGGCCAAAATGGTGGCACTTACCCAGCGTCGTGATAAGTAGCGCCACTACTTGCTGGTTCGCAGCCAAAGCTGCCCCTATGCTGGGGTGAAGGGATATATTGGCCAGTACTCGGATCACCTTTATGAGGACATCTTCCACCTCAGAAGGCTGTTCCTGTTTTTTGTTCTTTTCTTCCTCTTCATCCATCCTTTTCATAGAATTCAAATCCATTTCATAGTAAGTACTGAATAATGATAAGAGGGTTTGGATGCAACCTTTCTCCTTAGAAAACTGTTCCCGGGCTTGATTATTTTTCGCGGTTAGGTTGCCAAGAATGAAAACAATACGAACAACTAAATCCTACAAGAAAAATAAATACCAAGAATTATATAAGTAGAAAGAAGCTTGGAAAATTATCGGGGAAAATTACAGTGTTTTCTTGATTTCTCAATGTAAAACAGCAAGAATCCAGATTTCTTCCTATAGTACTTGATCCCCATTGGAGGTCAGTTGACAGAGGAGATTAAAAGCAACTGACAAGTTGTAAAAAAGAGCAAACTGACTGATGTTATTAAAAAGTCAAGCAAAGATTAATCAAACTGGAAAAAATCACTGACACTTCCTTTTCTCTCAGAAAACAGCTAGATAAGCAGGATTTGGTTACTGACAGTCATGTAAATAGGTACTTAGTTTCTAAGCTCATCTCTAATATATTTCTTTAATATCTAAGTTCCTTTACAAAAATTAGTCTCTCTCCTGAAGCTTTATTATGAAGAAGGAAACTACCAAGGACAGATTTCACATAAGCTGTTCACTTAAAATTCATTTAAATTTATTTAAAATTACCTAAATGGCAATTACTTTCTCTAAGTTATCAAGTCTCACAACTCAATAGTTTAGATGTTGATTCAGATTACCTTCATGTATCTGACAGCTATTAATTGACAAATCTCAGTGTTCCCTAGGGAACACTAAACATCCATTTGCTCAAGTTCTTCTGTGAGCAAGGAGTGCCAGGGGACTTTCTCCATGCTTATTCATTGTGACCACCATTATTCATCATGGGCAGCACTGGGGAATTCTTAAAGGTTGCTGGAGGCAGTTTACAACCAGAATCCACCCTGAAACTCCATTAAGTATAAGACCAGTGGTGGTGCAAAACCACCATAGGTTCCTTTAAGGAGCTGCAGATGACATGGATTCTTGCCAGTGTAGCTCACCCTTGAGCCTTTTTCCAAGAACACTGTGCTTGTTGTGTGTGTGGTATCAGTAAAGTGATCTTAGCTAGAAGAGGTAATGGCTGAATCTGCCTCACCTCTAGCCAAGTGGCATCTATGTCTGCCTCCTCTCTTGTAGGACTTTGTATCAAAAATGGTCTGACCATAAGACTAAGTGGCTGCCCACTGGCCAAATCTAACAAAGAAATATAGCATAGATGCAGGTCCCACAGATCAACAAACCAGAGCTCTTTCAGACTGCGTTCCTCAGAAAGAAAAGACTTGTTTCAAATTCCCTGTCCTGGACACTAGGACTGATAGGGCCACATAAAATAAACAAGCAAGTAAATGTGTGCATTTATGTATGTACATGTGTATAGACACATACATGCATGTATTGTGTAATATACATATATGTACAAAATATCTACCTATATACATGCAAGACATGCATGTTTATGTATCATAACCTGGGACTCCATTAAGCATAAGACTAACAAAACTACCATGGTCTCCTCTAAGATGCTACTGGTGGCATGGATTCTTGCCAATATAGCTCATGCTATGGTGTGAGTGTGTGTGTGTGTGTGTGTGTGTGTGTATACGTATATATAAACATATATATACACACACACGTATATACATATTTACAAATATACATTTATATGATATGAAATTAAAATCAGCTCTGTGAAATATATATGGAAATTTTATATATGTGTGCATACCCACACACATACATACTTATTTGTCTACTTATCTATCGCCTTATTTATTTATGTATTTGATTAATTATTTTAGGTTGTACTGGGTACAGAACTTAAATGTACAAATGATTTATGTGGTCAACACCTGATTCCACTTTAATGGGACCTTCTTCTAGGTAGTCCCAAACATGAGAAGCTGAATGAAATGCGACCCATCAGATAATTTGTGAGTTTAAAAAAGTAAAACTGACACTGAACTGTCCAGACTGTATATGAGGCATATGCCCTTAAAACACCAATTTGTACACTTAGTAATTCTCTCAGTAAAGGAAGAGAAATAAGTTAGATGAAAACAACCTCCTGCCCACTCTTCTTTCATGGGGATCCTCTACCCAAATGTATTGGAAAGCAAAATGATGCATCATGTGATACCACATAACCATAACAGCCATAAATATTGATCTGTGTATTATACTTGCGATACCACATCACCAACTTACCTATTTTTTTTTTATCAAAGTCACAAAGCCTTCCCATAAGTCAATAAACATTTATTAAAGACCTACCTATGTGCCAGGCACTGCGCTAAGCACTGGGGAATACAGATAAAGGCAAAAGATGGTCCATGCCCTCAAGGAGTTCACAATCTAATGGAGAAGACAACATGCAAACATATACAAAGTATATACTAGACAAATTGGGAATAATCAACAGAGGGAAGGAGGCACTAGAATGATTTCTTGTAGAAGGTGGGATTCCAGCTGGATCTTGAAGCAAGCCAGGGAAGCTAGGAGGCAGAGATGGGGAGGAAGAGAAGTGCAGGCACGAGGGGGCAGCCAGTGAAAATGCTCAGAGTATGGCAATGGAGAATTGTGTGTGAGGAACAGCGAGGAAGCCAGTGTCACTGGACCCTAGAAAGACTAGGGCTAAATAAGGTATCAAAAGACTGGGAAAGATGAGGGGGTGGGGAGAAGATGGAGCAGGTTATGATGTCCTTTGGACACCAAACATCTCATCATGTAAGTGACAGGGAACCATTAGAATTTGTTGAGTAGAATGGGACACGGTTAAGCCTAAAGTTCAGGAAGATCATGTTGACAAGTAAGTGGAGAATGGAATGGAGGAGAGACAGGCAGACCAATCTCCAGGCTACTTCAATAGTCCAGCCATGAGGGATGAGGGCCTGAACCAGGGTGGTGGCAGAGTCAGAGGAGAGAAGGGTGCACGTATGATATATGTCAAGAAGGTAACATTGACAGGCCTTGGCAACAGACTGAATATGGGAGTATGGATGAGAGAGTGAAGAGTCAAGAATGACACCCAGGTTCTGAATCTGGATGACTGGGAGGATAGTAGTGAAGTTAGGAAGTAGGGAGTATAGCAGGTAGGGGAAGAGAACTTCAACTCTGGATGCGCTGAATTTAAGATGGCTGGTTGGTTGTTGTCCTTCGTAATTGAAGAGCACCAAAAATGATATCACTATGTTGGGGTCAATCTACAGGGTATCTGACTGTGGCTGATCAGACCAATATGAGCTCAGAAGGCTCTACCACTGGTCGGCACAAATAGTCCATATGAGCATTTGGAGTGGAGATGGCTCTAAATGGGTGCGTGTCATGTTTCTTTTGCACTACCACCAATTCTGCTGGACAGTTATAGATGTCCAGTTGGCAGTCAGAGATGCAAGGCTAAAGGTAAACAGAGAGGTTAGGGCTGGATTAGGAGATCTGAGAATCATGGGCATGAAGATGATAATTAAATCCATGGGAGGTGATGAGATCAAAATTCACATAATTTCTTTCTATTCAGTGCCATGGTTGTTGAGTGAGAGGAGACTAAATAGTTTTCTTTTTCTACAAAAGAACTTTGGGCCTTCGTAGGGTAAGGTAAATAAACAAGCAGGTCTCTAAGGAGCGGCAGTACATTAACTCCACAGCTCTGACATTTTATGATGCTATAGCTCTTTGATGATTTCAGCTTCCTCTTGGGCCTAAGCATGGCCCAGATCACCAGGCAAAGTACAAAGGGGAAGATAAGCTTAAGTGTACTAGGAGCTAAAACCGTCTGGGTGCCAACTTCAGACAAGAAAAGAGCACTGTGCTGATCAAAACCATACTACAGATAGGTAACATAGACAGTTGCCTAGGGCACAGCTAGGGACATCTTAAAAATGTTACCTGCTAGAAATGCATAGACATATTTCTAATGTCAGAAAATTCTAGTTTCCAGAATAGGATCCAGAGTGGGAAGGAACGTCAGAGACCATTAATGTTATCTTTTCCAATGTTGGGTTCACATCACCGCCTTAAACAGATATGTTTAATGATTTCTTACTGCTTACGAAATACCTTCCAAGTGGCTCGAAATACAGCTCTTTGATGATTTTAGCTTCACATTCAATGGGCTAGAAATCTGGCTAAATCCTATTTTTTTCAACCTTATCTCCTGAGCACATCCCAGATTTCTCACCTCCAGGCCTTTGCTCACATCATTCTCTACCCCAAGCAACACCCCAGAAACTTTCCTTGAGTGCCCCAGAGATAATGATTTCCCATATGATTTTCCCATCTGAATTGCATTATTTAAGTATTTATCACATTTTAATATGCATTAGTCATTTATGTACATGCTTTATCTCTCATAAAAGATTGCAATTTCCTCCAGGGCAGGGACTTGTCTTAACAAACCCCTAAGTATTCCCCTGCCCTTAATGTGTCTTCAGAACTTCACCTCAGACCTCACCATCACCCTAAACCCCTAATGTTAAATTCTTAAATTCCTTTCTCTGACCATAATCTCTTGTCTTTCCATCTTTTCCTTTTATACTGCAGTGTCTTACTGAATGTTTATTAAATGGACGAATGAATTCAACAGAATCCTACAAAATCCCATTTGGATTTTATCCTCCTCTAAGCAAGAACCCTTACAAAAGCAAGAATGACTTTTTCACCAAGATCATCAATGCCACACCCAAAACAATTAAAGCTGCTTCATTCATCCTTTATGAAGAAGAAGACTACAAATTCTATAACTTTTCACTAATTTTTTCAAATTACTTATATAAGTCAATGCACAAATTTCACAAGGATCTTAAAATTAAATCAAATCCAGAACAAACGCTGAAACAACAAAATGCCAATGAATCCAAGAGAGACAAGGGTAAAAAGCAGACAGTCTAGTCTAACCAGTTTATATTGACTTTGCAATTTGGGTTAAAACAGTGTCAGCCTAGCAACAGCCATAGCCAATCAGAGTTTAGGCAAACAGTTACAATTATATTTTAAGAAGTCTGACCTCAACTGTGTATTCCAGTTACAGTCTATCAGATATTCTCTTTAGTTAAGCATATGCTGTGTTGTTAATGAGCAAACATGTTACTCAATATGACCAGGCATATTGAGTAACAACTGATGATTCACTGTGTGACCTTGGCTAA